AAAATACTTGTTTTTAGGCTCTGATAATTGCGTCAATTACCGACGGTATAGAAGTTTGTCCATCATTAAGGAAAATTTGCCTTAATTAAGGCTTATTGATAGATTGTGCTTTTATGTTCGATATTTGAAATTATCTATACTGGCATGCGAGCAGTTCCCTTACAGAAGCAGTACCCGTATTTTTCATTTAAACGCTTGATTTTTACTTGCATTCTTTAAAAATTCATTTCAAATCAAGCAGATACATAAACGAGACAAAATCTAAGTGTCATTTCGGCAGTATGTATATAAAGTCTCATTTTAAATCACTTTCACCTGTGTGTCATCAAAACGTGACCTTGTTTTCTCTGGGGGATTCGGTCCTTAAAATACTTACACGGGAGGCTTGTTAAAGGGTTTTCCACTAATACCACCTGTTTACAATTAAGTAGGCAATGTGATGTAAACTTGTTTAATTATCAGAATGTTGACCAATATTTCTATATATAATAATTTTATGGCTTTGATGTGTAACATATCATGTATACAAGCATGCTATTGCATGTGAATGCGTTGGGGAATGGTGCCGGGTAATTGATACCCGCATTTAGTCTACGCTCTATTTCCTGAATAACATCTATTTATCTCTTAGATAATGGTCTGTTCAACAATTGTAAATGAAAAATAAGTCCAATATAATAAAATTGTACGGCTAGCCACTTCCTATGCGAAAACAGTTGTTTATAATGCCTCTGAAAATACAGTAGCCTGGTCGGGCTTGTTACTGTGAAAAGTTAGTAGCCCGAGGAGAAATTTAGTAGTCAGGGGCTATAGGACTACTGCTAATTTCAAACACTGTAATGGAGTGTAATAGTGAACTCTATGTTTTTGGCCTTTTTTGAATTAATTAAAAAGAAATAAAACAGTTTTTCACTTTTAACAGTAAAGTAATGATGGAAAAATAAAAATTATCAATTAATTGTTTTATTCACTTCATTTGGTGTAATTCCCCAGAGCTAAATCCGTAATGTACCAGAAAACGGTATTAAGCTAGGTTTTCTAAAAGGTTAATAATTGGACAATTTATCTTGTCTAAAGTTGACTTTCGGGTGAAGACACAAAGACTTGCAGGGCTCATCCTGGGGGGAAATTTTAGGGAGAAGTGACTTCCTCGCTAAAAATAGGGAGAAGGGAAACAACCCAATGTGTATGCATTAACATGCATGGCTATACATCCTTTAACTATAATATAAGTTTCAAAGACACAATAATTGCAAATAATTAATTTTAAATATCAAGACTGTCTTGATATTTAAAATTAATTATTTGCAATTATTGTGTCTTTGAAAATTGGCCACTTATTGTGTTTGAAAATTGGCCACTTATTCTGTCTTCGCATCTGAAGACAAAGATACAACAACACTCTGTGGGGCAGAGACAAAAAATCAGGGTTGGCAAAAAACTGAGTTTTATGCGTATTGCCCAGCACAGCAGGTAATACTGGGTAAACCTGGGTTTTTCTGGGTAATACTGGGTATTTCTGGCCAAAAAAAAATTCTATATACTAAGGAAATACTATTTGTTATGTTTTAAATATATAGTGCATTTAGAGATGCATTTTCTTTACAAATTGCTGCACACAACCATTATGGTCACAATGACCTAGTGACTAGTCATGACCAGTAGATAACCCCTATGGATGTTGTGGTCACAAGGTCAAAAGTCAGTTACAGTATCCTGATCACATGACTAATTGACTACTGATAGTCTGTGGGTATACATGTTTTACAAACCTTTTTTGTTTTTTTTTGGGAGATCTGTCTGCAAACAAATTTTCAAATTTGTGGGAGAATTGTCAGTAACTGTTGGAGCGAACCATCAGGAACTGGTAAGGGGAGAATAGTCTGTCATTCTAACTAGACTTGTCAAAGAGACATCAAGATATCTTTTGGACAGCCAATGTCTTTTTCCAAGTTCAATTTCAAACTGCATTTTTGTGCAATAAAAGTGTTGTCGAATAAAATTGCAGTATTTCAATTGAATCCTAACACATTTACTTAGGTAAAGAAAAAAGTTTTCATAATTATCTTTATGTCTGGAAGGTGAGATACTTTATAAGTATCCCTTCTCTTATGATTAGTCCATTCCCATTCTGATAAATGTGATGCGTATGTTGTACTTACGTGAGAAATTAAATGATCGACTGTCTAAATTACACAGTGCTTATAAATACGCAAAACAACAAAATCCACAAATTGATAAAATATCATGTTGCTATTATTTAATATACACACGAGATGACCTCGCGGACCCTTCAAAAGAGTCGGTAAACACACATGTAGTCTCAGTTGTTTAATCCAAATCATCAAAGGTGCTGAAACTCAACTGACTTGCACTCATTTTTAGCTCGACTATTCGTAGAATAATCGAGCTAATGCAGTCACCCATTTGTCGGCGTCGGCGTCGGCGTCCCTGTGGTTAAGTTTTTGTATGTAAGCTGGTATCTCCATTACTACTGAAGGGAATGGATTGAAACTTCACACACTTGTTCTCTGTGATTATCTAAGATGATTGGCACAAGTCCCATAACTCTGATTTGCTTTTTTACATAATTATGCCCCTTTTTCGACTTAGAAATTCTTGGTTAAGTTTTTGTATGTAAGCTGGTATCTCCATAACTACTGAAGGGAATGGATTGAAACTTCACACACTTGTTCTCTGTGATTATCTAAGATGATTGGCACAAGTCCCATAACTCTTATTTGCTTTTTTACATAATTATTCCCCTTTTTCGACTTAGAAATTCTTGGTTAAGTTTTTGTATGTAAGCTGGTATCTCCATAACTACTGAAGGGAATGGATTGAAACTTCAAACACTTGTTCTCTGTGATTATCTAAGATGATTGGCACAAGTCCCATAACTCTGATTTGCTTTTTTACATAATTATGCCCCTTTTTTGACTTAGAAATTCTTGGTTAAGTTTTTGTATGTAAGCTGGTATCTCCATAACTACTGAAGGGAATGGATTGAAACTTCACACACATGTTCTCTGTGATTATCTTAGATGATTGGCATAAGTCCCATAACTCTGATTTGCTTTTTTACATAATTATGCCCCTTTTTCGACTTAGAAATTCTTGGTTAAGTTTTTATATGTAGGCTGGTATCTCCATAACTACTGAAGGGAATGGATTGAAACTTCACACACTTGTTCTCTGTGATTATCTAAGATGATTGGCACAAGTCCCATAACTCTTATTTGCTTTTTTACATAATTATGCCCCTTGACTTAGAAATTCTTGGTTAAGTTTTTGCGTGTAAGCTGGTATCTCCATAACTACTGAAGGGAATGGATTGAAACTTCACACACTTGGTCTCTGTGATTATCTAAGATGATTGGAACAAGTCTCATAACTCTGATTTGCTTTTTTGCATAAGTATGCCCCTTTTTATCTTAGAAATTCTTTGTTTAGTTTCCTCGTGTAAGCTGGTATCTCCATAACTACTGAAGGGAATGGATTGAAACTTCACACACTTGATCTCTGTGATTATCTCAGATGATTGGCACAAGTCCCATATTTCTGATTTACTTTTTCGCATAATTATTCCCCTTTTTTGATTCATAAATTTGTGGTTAAGTTTTTGTGTGTAAGCTGGTATCTCCATAACTACTGAAGGGAATGGATTGAAACTTCACACACTTGTTCTCTGTGATTGTATTGAAACTTGAAGGGTTTGTACCTTTTCGTACAATTTTATGTATTCATATAGGTAAGCATTATTATACTCAATGAAACACCCTTGTGACAAATTTTCGAATAGTCGAGCGTTACTGTCCTCCGACAGTTCTTGTTTTATATAACAGAAGTTAAAAAACCTGTCAAGAAAAGATTACACATGTTAAATTATTGGCCAAGTCTGAGACATAGACATAATCAAGTTGAAAAATATTTCAATTGGACCTTCAAAACATATGATTTTATACATACATACATGAATTATATTTTAAATATATAGATATTAACCTAATTAATTTGGCGAGAATGGTTTAACTCATTTTGCAGACATTTTTCTTCATGCAAAATACATCGCCGTCAAAAATTATCTCGACGTTTCTTTGACAAGTCTAATAAGTAATAAGTTGGACTTCTATAAATCTCCCATAGAACATTTAGATCTAAATTTGATTAGCGCATATTTTGAGTACTTTTCTTTTAGGGGCAGATTTTTTTTTTTCATTTTCCCCAAAAATGGATGCGGCGGGTCAGTAAACCGAAATATCAAAAAATAATGGCCTAAATACGGGGAAAATGGCTTTGTCATCAACCTTTTCAACAAACTACAAATAAGAACAGTTTACTTTACATAAAAAAAATCATATTTCATCGAGGCGCTTTGTTATATAACATATTGAGCATGTGTTTACATATAATATGTTTTTATATTGCATTTTGCAATCACCACAAAAAATAAAACAATGAAAAACAAAAAAGTGCATTTTCTTTTGTTATTGTTTTTTCAACTTCAAATAATATAGACAGAAATATTCATTTCAAATGATATTTAACAAAACAAACAAAAAATGAAATTATTTACAATTACCTATCTTTTCTAATGTAACCGGCATATATACTGAACCAAAAAAGTAACTTTCGCAAAGTGTGCCAGTTGTTCAAGTATACCACTTAGATGTACATACTTATATACATGTAGTAGCTTGTAAAACTCATTTTGTTTGCAAAATCGGTCTGCTAATCCCCGTATCAAAGCCTGATATGTTTATTTAACGTAAAAATCGAGTTTCAAATGGACTGAAAAACTGTATTTACATATCTACATTCAAACTTGGAGAAAGTTTCTTTTTTGTTTCAGTATATATTCAAGGGTTACTCAATACTGTTACAGTACTAGAATCAAAGATATGTTTAAGGCTGGCCTAAAGGAATGTTATAATATGTTAATAAAACATTTTTTAAGGATTATCTGTCTGAGTATATTTATCTTTTCTTGTTTATTTCAGGTCAAGTACAAGTGGTTGTATCCTTTATATGATCTAATTAGAGATGAATGTCAGATCTAATGTAAATATTTTATGAATAAAATTGTTCATCTATATTAAATAAAGCCTAGGTCACAAATAAGAAAATGCCGCCGGGTGGCGTCTTTTTCTCCAAAAAATCGCAATATCGGCCGGCGTCCGTCCAGCGGCAGTGACTATCGGACGGCAGCAGCTGAAAATTTTCCTCATCGGGCGTGCACCTTCTAGTTTTAAGTTTAAAAGCTAACGGCGACCGGAAGAGAATTGGTTTGCTTGTGTTTGTTATAATTTCAGCTTAAAGAAAGTGTTATTGACTCAAAATATATTTGTAAATTTCTTTTGAATACTAGTTAACATGAATTTTTTCTTCAATGCCCATGCGAATGTCTGATTGATTTTCGCCTTCTACGGCCTCGATAATGACCGTTGGTGACTCGTTGTCAACAACACAGACCAACTCCTTGACCTTCCCCTTGATTTGGCAGCTGACTTCTTTGCTGGCATAATTACAACTGGTTGATTTATCTAGGATTTCATTTAATGTAAAGTCATTGTCGCCCCGGCGCCCGCGCAGCAACCGTCCGATTCACTTTTAAATCGCACAGACGCCGTACGGACATCCGGCAGCGATCGCCTGATCCGTTCAATTCTTTCTGTAAAACCCACTCAGCAAAAATCGCCCGACGACTGTTTCATTCGTGACCATGCAAGGTATCAAATTTAAAATTGCCCGGCGTCCACGACATCAAAAAATCTGCCTATTTTATAAAAATCGTTTAATCGGACGGCGCCCGTTTTATTTGTGACCTAGGCATAACCATGATTCAAGATTCAAATTTTTTATTTTGGCAGTTCAGTTAACAAATATTGAGAAAAATATGTAATAAACATAGTGTTTACACATACATTGTAATATACAATAAATATTATAATAGATTATTATACCAATTTCGGTATCTTTTACAATTTACATATATGGAAAAGCTAAAAGTTTATTTAAAATAAATTGCAGTTTTCTTATTTAAATTCAAAATACATAGAAAATAAACAGTCATGCAAACTTGTGGACAACTCTGCATTAGACAATCAATTACAAATTAGTATTTTTTGGAAGTGAAAAAAAGAAGAGAGAGAAGCAGAAAATCTAATCTGCTATTGCAATATTACATGTATGTTCTTGGAATTGACACAATGTATAAATAAGAATATTTTATATATGCATGCATAGTGTGTCAATTGAGTGATATGGTATTTGATTGGTTAAAATATTGGCTGTCAATTTCATGCACTTTGTAAAGTTACATGGTAAATTGCAAGAAAAGCATATAAATGTATAATGTATTTTTATTAGAAGCTTTTACACCTTATGATTAGGCACATGGCATACAGTAGCCTTAATTGATAAAAGTGGAAGTTGTCTAGGAATTATTAAATGTTATTATTTGTGTCAAACCTTTTTTAGAGGTGATGTGTTAAACTATAAGTTGTATGAATGTCAAGTGGAATTAACATGTAATTATAACATGTATAATAATCTCTTAAAATATTGTTATTTATTGACATGATTGTATTCCTGTTTTGCCTGAAAAGGTCAATATTTTGAAATGAATTATATTCTTTAATGATGTAATCAAACAAGACTTAATCATTGTTCTTGTTAATACTTGATTTTTTTAAAAAATATTTTTCCAACTAAGTGATTCATCATTTAAGTTTATCATTATAATTATTGGAAGTTAACCTTAACTGGTTTATAGAGATCATCATTGCCATATGAAGTGTTACTGTACTTGAATGGCTGGTATTTTGGACTTTTCTTTCTCTGTGAGATACTGCTATTTGTATACAAAGGTATGTTCTCTTTTGTAAATTATAACACCTTAAGAGATTTATATGTAATGTAACAACTTCTTAAAGATGTTTCAGTACATAAATTTGAACACAATTTTTTTCCACGTCCTCATGCATTGTTTTTAGCTCACCTGAGCATATGCTCAGGGTGAGCTATTAGGATCACTCTTCTTCCGTTGTCCGTCATCCGTGGTACATTGTCCGTTCACACTTTTCAAACGACTTCTCCTCTGAAACCATAAGGCAGATCATAATGAAACTTCACAGGGATGTTCCTTGTGTGAAGCCTTAACAAAGTTGTTCAAAGAATTCCATTCCATGCAGAACTCAAGAAAAAACTTTAAACATCTTCTTCTAAAAAACCCAAAGAGCTAGACCTAAGATATTAAACATGAAACATCTTCTAATGAGTGTCTAATAAGATTGTTAAAATAAAAGCCCTGGGGTCAAAATTGACCCTGTCCCAGGGGGTCTTTGATTTTCCCTATAATTATGCATAAAGTAAAAACTTTAAAAAAAAATCATCTTTTAAAGAACCCAAAGAGCTAGAGCTAAGATATTTAGCATGAAACATGTTCTAATGGATGTTTACCAAGTTTGTTCAAATAAAAGCCCTTGGGTCAAAATTGGCCCGCCCTAGGGGGTCATTGATTTCCCTATATTGCATATAGTAATTAAAAACTTAAAAATCTTTTTTTAAAGAACCAAAAGAGCTAGAGCTAAGATATTTAGCATGAAACATGTTCTAATGGGTGTCTACCAAGTTTGTTCAAATAAAAGGCCTTGGGTTAAAATTGGCCCTGCCAGGGGGAGGGGGGCAAAAGTCATTGTTTTTCATTATTTGTGTATAGTGAAAACTTAACATCATGAAACATCTTCTAATGGGTCTCTTCCAAGTTTGTTCAAATTAAAGCCCTTTGGTTTAAACTGGCCCCGCCAGGGGGCCTATGTACAGGTGAGCGACCCCAGGGCCATCATGGCCCTCTTGTTTGACATTATGTTGTGATACTGAAACAAACAAGGCCATTGCCTCAGTAAGCTATGTTTACATGGCGACAAGACTCATGCATATTATAAAACGTTCAACAGGGATGTGTGCTCAGGTGATTTTTACCTGCATGCACAGTTTTTATGCAAGAATATAAAATAAAGGCCAACACTTTTAAGCATGACTTTATGAAAGAAAAAAAGAGGATGGTAATTCTATTCAGTATGGTATTGGCATAAAGGTTTTATATACAAATAATTTTTCAACTGAAGATATTCATTTGAAACTTCACCATTGGAATTATAATTGTTGGTGAAGTTTCAAGACCCATAACTTTAGCATTGATTTTGAATTATACCCCTTTGTGAAATTAGAAGAATTATCCTTCTCACAACCTTGTTAGTAATGATTTTCCAGCGATCTATTTTTATTAACCATATAAGATAATCACTTGAAACTTAACTTGCAAATCACTGTCTCCAATAACTATAGCATTGATTTTCACTAAATTATCTCCCTTTATGAGCATTGTCAAAACTATGGAGTGAGCACTGAAATAGTCATCTATAAAAATATAATGTTGTTTATTACAGGAGAAACATTACCATATGCAAATGGTGTTCTTCCAGCAGAGGTCTGTTTGGTGTTCATTCTAGCTGGGATAGAGGCTTTACGATTGTTCTTTGGTAAGAAAATTTTATGTACAAACATGGCAATTGTCATGTTAAACCTATAAAAATATGTCATTATGACATTCTTTTATTGATTGTTGTAAACTCAATTTCAAGACAAATTCAGTTATCAGTTTTATTTGTGAATACTATGTTTTATGCTCCTGCCATTAAAACTAAAATGAGCCGCGTCACAACAAAACCAACATAGTGGGTTTGCGACAAGCATGGATCCAGACCAGCCTGCGCATCCGCGCAATCTGATCAGGATCCATGCTGTTTGCTATCAGTTTCTCTACTTGTAATAGGGTTTTTAAGCGAACAGCATGAATCCTGATCAGACTTCACAAATGCGCAGGCTGGTCTGGATCCATGCTGGTCGCAAATGCATTACGTTGGTTTTGTCATGACATGGCTAAAATGTATATACTTGCATCTGGTCAGTTACTTCTGCATGCATGATGGGATTGGTGCACATGACCACCATATGTAGGTGATGTGTTGAATGCAGGACATAGGTCCTAAAGACAAAGTTTAAGGTCACAGGTGGGGATTGCCCTTAGTGCATTTGTCATATATATTTAAATGCAGTTTGGGAAAAGGTATGAGGTCACAGCAGGGATTTGGACTTTCTATATATTAGATATTCTTAAGTGGAGTTTGTACGTGTTACTCATTTTCAAAACTAACATAATTATACTTTCAGTTCTCAGCATATTTATATTTGGTCTAAATTTAATACAAATTCATGAAAGCACTGCCTAAAACTTACATATAAAACTATAGAAAATAGTGTTAATATTTGCCAACTTATAGTCAATGATGTGGTGGAGGGTGCCTGGGGGGTGGGCGTGGGCATTTGTGGCCTTTGGATGCATCTATAGTTTTTCAATACATGTGTTATACCTAAATATTACAAGTATATTTTTCATACCATCAAATAGCTATACTGCCATTATAGAGAACATATTTTTAAACTACCCACTAAGTTATAGCTCTCCAGTATGAAGACAAATATTATAATAAAGATTTCAATTACTAGGAATATTGCATAATATTTATTTTATATGCTCCAGTTGATCTCACACAAGTATGTAAAGAAGGAAAGTTTCTAAAATTTTCACTTGCAAACTGCATGTTGTATTTGTATATTTTCTTTTCAGCAAGGAAAGGCAACCTGACAGAGAGAATTGTTGGTGTTATAGTGTCTATATTGTTAAGTATACCTGCACTGTTAGGAGGTGTGTTCTACCTGTACTGGCAGACATATGTCATGAGAGCTGATATTATACTGTCAGCCATACAATTAGCTTTCATTGGACTGGAACTCATCTTTGGTATTGTGTCCATTATAACTTTTGCAAGGTAAGAAGATACTGAGTTATACTAGATTAAATATTTTTAAAACTAAAATTTTAAAATTAGGCCTTCAGCTTTGCTCAAATTAAACTCACAGCATTATGTGATTGCATGATTAAGTTTGCTGTCTTCAAATCACTTGCCTTGGGTTTAAATCTTGTCAGGGACATTGAATTCTACATATGAGGAAGCTATCCAGCTAGCTAACTACTGAAAGTTTGTGGTTCTGCACAGATACCTGCTTTTGCCATTATTTTGTACAAAGGGGAATCTAAGGTCTTCCTCCGCCATTTACAGTAAAGCTGTAGTTATCATATGATCTGTACACTGTTGCGGTGACATAAAACAGAACAAAAACAAAATCTCAGTTAGCAACTTATAATGTGAGCATGAGATGTTTAGAATTTTACATGGCAAGAAAGTTTCATTTTCAGTGACAATTTCTTTAGTAACTTTAGCAAACGACTACAAAGTATATACAGAGCTTTCCTACTCACTCTTCCTAGTTTTGAAATCCAGATTTATAATTAAAGTTGTATATGTCATGATATATTTATAGTTATCATCTTTACTACCTTAGGGATTTACTTGTGCTGCTTGTCATCATGGTTACATGACAAGATTTATAACTGGTATCTATGCAGACATATTGAAGAATTGTCTCCCTTTGAACTTAAAATTTTATATTTTCATAATCAAAGGGATTGTTTCTGAAATCTTTGAAATGATGTTTTTTATCAACACCAACATCATGTATGACAAAGTTCATAGCATTGACAGTTTTTTGTCAAGAATTGTTACCCATTGAAGATTATTGTGGGGAACAAAATACTTAAAACTTTATTTTTGCATCTTACATTATAATAGGCATTTTTTGTTATTTGCAATATTTCATTATTTTTTCCGGATGTTTATTAAGCAAATATTCATTTCCAACATAAATAGTTTAGCATATTCTCTCATCAAACAGCTCTTTTTATCCCCCTCCCCCACCCCCTATCTTTTACATATGAATATACCAAAATTGAGTTGAAAGTCATATGCATGATGTATCGTTTGATCATTCAGCATGGATGTTCTTTCTGGCTTGTCTCTTTACTTGTAACATAGACTGTTATTATTACTGTGTCAGTTATATGAAATGTTCTTGATTATTGTTTCAGAGCTGCACCTTATTAACATGAATGAAGAAAAGGATGGAAGAAATGGATTTAGAATTTTTATGTAGAGTCTCGGTCTTATTTTAGACCAAGAGGACATCCAAAAACGGACCACAGATCTGTGTGTGAACATTTACATCCTACATTTACACTGCGCAATGCTTTTATAGTGACTTAATTTAATTACACATTCCATTGTATTTGTAAGTCTAAAATTGTAACATTTAATTGATTTTGATCATCTCGCTCTGGATTGATCTCTCACAAATATACATCAATATAAAATGTTAGGCGATACATTCTTTGTTATGTTTTTAAATATAAATTATATACTATATTATAAATTAGAAACTTTTAGATGCAGTTATTTTGAGAGCATGCCTTTGTCACATTACTTCAAACCATTTCATATCAAGTTGTTAGAGGATTCAAATGGAATTAATGTCTGTTTCTATTGTGAAGTTGTACATATTAGAATAGTTCATTGACATGTTTATAAATAGTTAGGTTGATTAAAAAGTCATTGTAATATATACATGTTTTTATGTACATAAATTGTAGAACAAACTGTGATATTTATTAAATATTTGAAAATTGATTAAACTGTATTTTGATTATTATTATTATATATCACGGGGTGGAACCCCATATGTATCTCAAAAATGAGCATCCGTAAAAAGTATGTGCGAATTTCCGCTGCTCCAGATGTGAGGCATAACACCAGATGTGACTGTGTTCTCCCTGTGTATATCCAACGCAAAAAGTTCTAGTATAGAGACACTACAAAGTTCTGATGGAAAGGAACCAATGATATATCTTGCAGCCATTTGAAATAATTGAGACCTTGTAAAGCACTTGCTGTATTCTAAACATTAACAAGATAAGAGTCACCTGACAAATAAATTGGCCTTACAAGGATGGGCTACAGATAATCAGAGTTTGTGGCTTTCAGTGAAACTGGGAAAGCTTAACTTTTTAAATGCTGTATCACGCAGTACAAGCCTTCTCTGGAGCACTGGTCCTAAAGTCATGTGTTTATCTTGTAAAGGTGATGTATAGAACAAGCATTTTAGAATCCCCATTTTAAAATTGAGCAAATGGTTAAAGCTGGAATTATAAAGTATGCCCTAATTTCATTAGTAAACAATAATTGTAACAAAAGCAACTATGTGACTTAAGACAGATTCAAAAGACCATTGTTAACTTTGAAAATTCTTGGTTAAAGTTTTATATGCAACATTAATTTTCAAAACTGCTCATAGTGTACACTCAAATCTAAGTACAATTTAATGTCTTCTTGGCTTTAACTGTAGGTCACTATCCAAGGTTAAAATGCTTTCTTGGATTTATAATGAATCGTGGTCTTTACATGTTATGGCCTTCTTTAAGCTCACCTGTCAAACATAGACAGCATGGACTTTTAGGATTGTCTACTGCATATCATTTGTCATCCACAATTAATAAGAATGACAGCTCTACTGAAATTAATTGGCAAAATTTGATATAAGTTATGGGTTTCTTACATGAAGCTCTACCAAGGTTTTTCAAATGGTTCCATTTCATTGCATATCAGAGTCACAGAAGCTAAAAATAGAATTTAAAAATGTAATCTTTAAAAATCTCCTCCGAGACCCATATACTTGAAGCTTAGATTTTTTGTAAGAAACATTGCCCTGTGGTTCTCTACCAATTTTGCTCAAATTATAGCCATAGGGTCAAAATTGGGCCTACTCCATGAGTGAAAGGTTTTCCTTATGTGTACATGTATATAAAATAACTTGACAAATCCTTTTCTCTAAAACCACAAGGGCTAGAGCTTAGATATTTGGTGTGAAAAATTGGCTAGAAGACCTCTACCAAATTTGTTAAAAATAAAGCTCTAGGGTTAAAATTGGCATGGCTCCGGGGCTCATAGATTTCTTATGTGTATGAACATGTACGTGTTGTTCCCCTGGGTTCTTAAATGGCCCCATACACAACAACTTTAAAAAATAAAATCTCTTCTAAAACCTAGATTAGATGCTAAAGCATAAATTTTTGTTATGAAATATTTTCCAGTGGACCTCTACCAAAGTTATTAAAATTATAGTCATGTGGTCTAAACTGACCAGCCCAGTGGTCATGGACTTTCCGTAAATGTATATATTAAAAATTTGCATAGCAGCCATTAACTTCCTGAGGAAGTGATTTTTAATGCAACAGCTGCCATTGACTTTCCTTAGCAACCAGTTATATCAACAGCAACCATTCACTTTTCATAGCAACTATTGACTTTCATAGCAACCCATGACTTTAAAAAAACAACCATTGACTTTCCTTAGCAACCACTGACTTTCATACCAATTATTGACTTCCCTTTGTAACCAGTGACTTTCCATAGCAAACAGTGACTTTTATAGCATTATACAATTTACATTCCAAAGCAAACCATGACTTCCTTTGTAACAAGTGACTTCCAAAGCAACCAATGTTTTTCTATAGCAACCAGCGGCTTCTATAGAAACCATTGACTTGATAAAGCAACCTGTGACCTCCATTTTTAAAGCAGCCATTGACTTTCCAAAGCTACCAGAATCAACCATTGATCTTCATAGCTGCCACTGACTTCCGAGGAAACCATTGATTTTGTACAGCATTAAGTGACTTCCATAGTATTACTAAGTAAGCATTGATTTTCATAAGCAATTGTAACTAGTAAATTTTTTTACATTTGCACTATTTCTGATGAAATCTGAACTGTGAAGTCAGTTTAAGATTTTGGCATTACATAATTATGATATGACATGAACTTGTCACAGTGAAGGATCCATGATAACGGTCATATGAACACACCTGTGGATGTTTCTAAATTCAAAATTGTACAATTTTTATATTTAGATGTTGAATTTTTCTTAAATTGTTGCTAGAAGCTTGGAATTATCCAGTCCATCCATGAACGGGCTCAATCTACCAGAGCCTGCAACATTTTCAATTTTGTTGTTTTTGGCAGTCTTTTGGAGTTCAGTATTACTCTTTTGCAGACATTTCATGGCTCAAGTTTCATATGCTACATCAAAATTCAGAACTATCACTCAAACTTGACAAATGCCTGTTGAACAATAGATACAGGTTACTCACCTAGGTTAAATGAAGGCATGGATTTTGACTAAATTAAGGCCCTTTGTGAATTTTGGAAATTCTTGGTTAAAGTTTTGCATGCAACCTAAGTCTTCAAAACTACTTGGGGTGTTCACATAAATATTGACATACATAAATATTGACAATAATTATGTCTTCAGGATCATAATTAGAGGTCACTTTCCAAGGCCTATAACTTACATGTAGCATACAACATCTATTATCAAAACAATTTTACTTAAACATGGGTCCGAGATAATTATTGGAAGTCTAAGGCTCATTACTCTGGCATGGATTTTGACTGAATTATTTCGTAAACGTAAAATAATTCTTGATACATTTACATAAAGTCTTAACTAGAACTCCGCGAGTCGGATGTGTCGCCTTGTGAACAATGTAGTTTAGGGGAAATGGCCAGGACAAAAATGAAATATGAAAAATAACAAAGGGCAATAACTAAAAAACTAATACGTGCAGAGCAGCAGTTTCTGTACACTGCACTTCTTATCAAATTCTATGATGTTTCAAGTCCGTAGCTTTCATACTTGAGGAGAAATTACCAGGACAAAAATAAAGTAAGAAAATCAACAAAGGGCAATAACTCAAAAATAAGAAATGCAGAGTATCAGTTCTTATGCACTGCACTTCTTTTTAATGAGATCTATCATCCTATGAAGTTTCAAGTCCATAACTTTTATACTTTCGGAGAAATGGCCTGGACAAAAATTAAGTATGAAAATTAACAAAGGGCCATAACTCAAAAATTAAGAAATGCAGAGTACAGATTCTTTTGCACTGCACTTCTTAAAAATGAGATCTATCATCCTATGAAGTTTCAAGTCCATAGCTTTTATACTAAAGGAGAAATGGCCCGGACAAATTTAAAGTATGAAAATAAACAAAGGGCAATAACTCAAAAAATAAGAAATGCAGAGTACCAGTTCTTGTGCACTGCACTTCTTCTTAATGAGACCTATCATCCTATGAAGTTTCAAGTCCATGGCTTTTATACATTAGGAGAAATGGCCCGGACAAAAATAAAGTATGAAAAATTAACAAAGGGCAATAACTCAAAAATTAGGAAGTGCAGAGTACTGGTTCTTGTGCACTGCATTTCTTCTTAATGAGATCTATCATCCTATGAAGTTTCAAGTCCATAGCTTTTTTAGTTGAAGAGAAATGGCCCGGACAAAATTAAAGTATAAAAATTAACAAAGGGCAATAACTCCAAAAATAAGAACTGCAGAGTACCGGTCCTTGTGCACTGCACTTCGGGTTATTGAAAGAAGCATGCATACCAAGTTTGAAGTCAATCAGACTTATAGTGACTAAGTTATGCTCCGGACAAGCTTTAGGGAACGCCGACACAGCCGCCGCCGCCGCCGCCGCTGACACCGCCGACAAAAGTAACCCCTATATGTCACCTTTTCAAGGCGACACAAAAATAGTGAAGGTCTCCACTTGAAACTTTAATCATCATTTGATGTCATCATCCAAGATGTGTAACTCTCAACATGAATTTTTAGTAAAATTTGGCCCTTTGTTAACTTACAAAATTCTTACAAAAAATCTTTGGTCAGTATCAAAGATGTATCTTAAATTATCCTGGGCTTGTTCTGTGAATAGTATTCTTTTTTCGCTTGGCTATATGAAGAGAGAGCCGTCATTCTCACCCACTTCTGCGTCCAGATTTCAGATGAAAGTTTAGGTGGCCAGTAAAATATTTTCTACTATAACTTTTTTATTTCTTAAAGGTATCAATTTCAAATATATGTTCCTCATCATCAACTACATCTTATGTGACAAGAGTCATAACTTTAGAAGCTATATTTTCAGAGTTATCTCTCTGTGAACACATGATGTGTGACAAGATTCATAACTAGCAAACATTCTTTCAGATTTATCCCCCTTTGAACTTAGAGTTGTTGGACCAATGCTCGGCGCATACCAATGCTCGGCGTAAAAATGGTTTTTCTAGAATATCTGAAAATGTCTCGAGTTATCTTCTGATTTAGGTCACTGGTGCGAGTATTTACATCTTTCACCATTTTATCCTGGTGTGGTTCACTGCTGGTAAAGTCATGTGACAATGCTTATAGCAGACAAACAACCGTATGTATTATTATCCCCAACATATATGTAGTGGGGGGTTCTTAGTAAAACAACAGTGTATGATGTTTACTACGTTTTATTCAGGTATAGAAGAAACCTATAACAAAACAAAATGATTATAATACAAATAACAAAGAGAAATATTATGCAATAGAAAATTCATGAATTGCATATTTCACAATTGCAATAATTACAATATATACATTATAACCATTTCACAATTACAATTAAAATAAATATATACATACCAGGCTTTAAATAGATGAGATCTAATTTCAAATAAATATATAGAATACAAATATTTCTATAAAGAAATAAATGAAATAACTTTAATGTATTTTAATGCAAAGAATGTGTTTCCACTTCGACTGCAATGAAAGGAGTGGTCAGTTACCAAGAAATATTAGCTATCCCAGAACCAAATCATCTAAAAATAACTTGCATACCAAAACCAATCATCCATCACTCAACTTGCAAAACCAGTTCAATCACCCATACAAAAGGAACAAAGACAAATTTGAACACATAACACCACAATAGATTTGGTTTGGCCTTTAAGGGAAATAACTACCGTATTTATTATAAAAAAATGAACTTGGCTAAATTTAACCTTATCTACACACTCCCCCTTCTACTTAAAAATGACACCGGCATTTTCTTAAACAATTATTAATGAAACCTGGATTTATGAAAAAAATAACATTATAATAAATTCGAAAAACAAAAATGCAATACAATGTATATTCATATGACGACATAAATATATCATATTATTTAAGATATACTGCCCTCCTATAACTATTTTGCAATAGTTAAACAGTAAAATATAAAGAAATAATGCAATACAGTAGAGTTGTCAATTCTACTTGAAAATAATAAATAAATAGTATATACTTCCATACATAGGACCCATGTGAAATTTAAAAGGACTGCATAAAAAAATGAAACAGCATTATATGATAATTATACCCATTCTCCATACCTATCCCGTGGATGTATCACACGTCTAGGGCGTGGGATAGGGCGTGAAGATAAAACGGGCGTATGTACTGGAATGACTGGAATAGTCACTGGAGTACTTGGTCTACTCACTGGAGTAACTGGTACACTTACTGGAGTAACTGGAACACTTACTGAAGTAACTGGAACATTTACTGGAGTAACTGGGATAGTTTCTGGAGTAGCTGGAACACTTACTGGAGTAACTGGAACACTTACTGGAGTAACTGGTACACTCACTGGAGTAACTGGGACATTGTCTGGGGAATATGTCACAGGATTGGGGTGAATCCTGGGAACAAATGAAGGGATAGAAATAGAAGGAGCATCAGAAGAATGTCCATAATCAACACGAGTATTGCGACTGCGAGTAACTGGAAATCTCCTCTGTGGTATGATGTATACACCAGATGATGATTCAGAAGAGCTGGAATCAGCATCATACTCTTTCTGTATAGGAACACGTCTAGGTTTTGGTTTAGGCTTAGTTTCAACAGGTAAATCTGTATCTTCTTCAGGGATAGAAATAAATTGAAGAAGCATATTTCTGTGAAGGGTTCTGACAGGACCTTTTCGAGACTCAAGTTGTACTTAATATACAGACTGGTCAGGAAATGGTATGTCAATGATAACAAAAGGGTCCTTCTCCCACTTATCTGCCAGCTTCTGTCGCCCTTGAAGATTGACTTTTCGGACCAAAACAATATCGCCTACAACCAATTTATTCTCGCGAACTCTACGGTCATATTGCTTCTTGTTTTGATCAGCCCGCTTCTTGGCAACATCACCAGCTAACCGATAAGCATATTGAAGGCGTTCCTACAAACGAGAAACATAAGTAGTAGGAGAAAGATGTTCAGAGTAAGAAGGAAAAGTACCAAGATAGGCATCAACAGAAAGACGGGGATGCCATCCAAACATAAGAAAGTGAGGAGAAAAACCTGTAGAAGAGTTCTTGGTGGCGTTATAAGCCTGAACAAGAGAAGGAACAAAATCTGCCCACTTAGATTTATGATCTTCTGCCAGAGTACCTAACATTCTGAGAAGGGTCCGATTAAATCGCTCCGCTGATGGATTTCCCATAGGGTGGAAAGGAGTGGTTCTTGTCTTTCGAACATTTGCAATTTTGCAAAGTTCCTTGATGACCCGACTTTCAAAATTCTGCCCCTGGTCAGAATGCAGCTGCTCTGGAAAAGAATAGTGGACAATAAAATGTTCATATCAGGCACGAGCAGTGGTAGTCGCCTTTTGATTACGGCAAGGAATAGCCTTGGCAGACACCGGTAGTACCTGCTGCAGAATTGGTTCAAATCCAGACTTCAAGACCCATGCAACTTGTGTGTATGGATTTCTTGAAGCTGGAGAAGTCCAAAGGAGGGTATGAGGACGTCTTGGTTATTACCGACCATTTTACCAGATATGCCAAAAAATATAAAAAACAAGATCAACAAGGAAAGGCGGCGTTCAATGAACGCAACCCCCATATGACACAGCAACAAGAACCAACGGCAAGGAGCCCAGGCGGACCCCAAACATAAACCATAAGTCTATGAAGGCTGGACATTAGGGCACACGCTTTTTATTACTTGGGGACCATACGCCGCTTTTCATGGAATGGCACGGTAGTGTCACATTGAAGGTTCCATGATAACCGACGTATGAACACATCTGCGAATGTTTCTAAATTCAAAATTTTACTATTTCATGTTTAAATGTTGAATTCTGCTTAAGCCGGTGCTAGGGGGCGTGGACGGTAACTTGCACTTTCCAGTACCATCCATAAACAGGCTCAATCAAACCGAGCCTGCAACATTTTCAATTTTGCCGTGTTGGGCTTTCTTTAGGGATTCTGTATTTATCTATTTTATGATCACATCCGTGTTATTTGTGCCGTGTGGCGGCTGTAAAAAGTCTCCCCGTACATTTAATCAATGATGTTATATTTTCGATCCTTGAAGATCGTTCAGCACGACATTATTGTTGTGCTTGTAGTATTTTTAGTTTCAACTTTTCGGCATTTTCTAGTTGGGTGGTTCCAATATTCCTACTTGAATAATGTTGAATCACCCTTAGGATATGTTGCCTGCTTTTTAAATTTGTCTTTTGACGTCTTATCTGTGATACACAGGCTTCATAACCTCTGATCCCCTTTCAAAATTCCATTTTATTTAGTTCCGCCCATTGTTTTCTCGTTTAGGGCACACGCTTTTTATTACTTGGGGACCATACGCCGCTTTTCATGGAATGGCACGGAAGTGTCACATTGAAGGTTCCATGATAACCGACGTATGAACACATCTGCGAATGTTTCTAAATTCAAAATTTTACTATTTCATGTTTAAATGTTGAATTCTGCTTAAGCCGGTGCTAGGGGGCGTGGACGGTAACTTGCACTTTCCAGTACCGTCCATAAACAGGCTCAATCAAACCGAGCCTGCAACATTTTCAATTTTGCCGTGTTGGGCTTTCTTTAGGGATTCTGTATTTATCTATTTTATGATCACATCCGTGTTATTTGTGCCGTGTGGCGGCTGTAAAAAGTCTCCCCGTACATTTAATCAATGATGTTATATTTTCGATCCTTGAAGATCGTTCAGCACGACATTATTGTTGTGCTTGTAGTATTTTTAGTTTAAACTTTTCGGCATTTTCTAGTTGGGTGGTTCCAATATTCCTACTTGAATAATGTTGAATCACCCTTAGGATATGTTGCCTGCTTTTTAAATTTGTCTTTTGACGTCTTATCTGTGATACGCAGGCTTTATAACCTCTGATCCCCTTTCAAAATTCCATTTTATTTAGTTCCGCCCATTGTTTTCTCGTTTAGGGCACACGCTTTTTATTACTTGGGGACCATACGCCGCTTTTCATGGAATGGCACAGAAGTGTCACATTGGAGGTTCCATGATAACCGACGTATGAACACATCTGCGGATGTTTCTAAATTCAAAATTTTACTATTTCATGTTTAAATGTTGAATTCTGCTTAAGCCGGTGCTAGGGGGCGTGGACGGTAACTTGCACTTTCCAGTACAGTCCATGAACAGGCTCAATCAAACCGAGCCTGCAACATTTTCAATTTTGCCGTGTTGGGCTTTCTTTAGGGATTCTGTATTTATCTATTTTCTGCAAATACAACTTTTGCAACCTGAAATGCGACTATTAAAATCTGCATCCATGCCGGGCCAATAAAAACGTTGACGAGATTACCATAGAGATTTATCACGTCCATGATGGCCTACATTGTCATGAACACCAGTAAAAGCAATATTCCTATGAGAATAAGGAATTACAAGTTGTTGTACTTCTTCTCCATCCAGAGTGGCGGTACGATAAAGAACACCATCTTTGATAGAAAGACGAGAGAAATCACGAAGAAGAGATTTGACGTCTTTCGACATCTCCTCCCCCCTCGGACGAGAACCAGAACGTAGGATGGAAAGAACAGAATATATATCAGTGTCTTTAGACTGTTCTACCGCCCAATCCACTGGTCTGGCTGCTGCTTCAGAAGGAAAAGATTCCTCATTGGCCATATGAGGGACCTCATCTCCCGAGCAACATTCAGCAGAAGAAAGAGAGACAGAAGCAGCAAAGCACACTGCCTTGACAGCATCGCTGAAGAGTTGTGGTCGGCGAGATAGCCCATCACAATCTTGATTCTGTTTGCCTGACTTATATATGATTTCAAAATCATAGGCAGACAAAATTAAAATTATTAAAATCTTTTAACACTAGAGTTCTGGGGCTGTAAATTTTAAACTAAAAGTTGGGTACTTGTAAATGTATGAACCTAATTTGGTTGTTACAATTTATTCAATATGTTTTCTTCATAAGATAAAAAAGAGATTTTATTCGAAAAACAATCCTGCATCATGGAGTATTGTATGCCGAGCTATGGTACAATTTCACGTAAACCACTCTTGTTTATCCGGACTATCTATAGCTCCAGCCATGCACATCATTTTGTGATTAGTGAATTTTACACAATAGCTATTTAAAACAATATCATCGGTCTTGAAAATGGACATATCACATTGAGGTATGTTGACGTTGATTTGAATTTGCCATATCAAATATAGTATTTTTACGCTGAGCGTTGGTCCACCCACTCTAGAATTTCTGTTAAAACTTTTTTTATATGCCCGAAAGAATTTCGGGCATATTATGTTATACCCCCTGGCGTCCGTCTGTCGGTCCGTCGGTCCGTCCGTCCGTCCGTCTGTTAGCAATTTGGTTTCCGGAGCATAACTTAAGTTCCATTTGGCCCACAGTATTCAAACTTCATAGGATAAATTGCCCATATTGGGTAGAAGACCCCTATTGATTTTGGGGTCACAAGGTCAAAGGTCAAGGTCACTATTAGCTAAATACTGAAAATGGTTTCCGGAGCATAACTTAAGTTCCATTTGACCCACAGTATTCAAACTTCATAGGATGAATGCCCATATTGGGTAGAAGACCCCTATTGATTTTGGGGTCAAAAGGTCAAAGGTCAAGGTCACTATTAGCTTAATACTGAAAATGGTTTCCGGAGCATAACTTAAGTTCCATTTGACCCAAAGTATTCAAACTTCATAGGATGATTGTCCATATTAAGTAGAAGACCCCTATTGACTTTGGGGGTCACAAGGTCAAAGGTCAAGGTCACTGTTAGCTTAATACTGAAAATGGTTTCCGGACCATAACTTAAGTTCTATTTGGCCCACAGTATTCAAACTTCATAGGATGATTGCCCATATTGGGTAGAAGACCCCTATTGATTTTGGGGTCACAAGGTCAAAGGTCAAGGTCACTATTAGTGAAATACTGAAAATGGTTTCCGGAGCATAACTTAAGTTCCATTTGGCCCACAGTATTCAAACTTCATAGGAGAATTGTCCATATTGGGTAAAAGACCCCTATTGATTTTAGGGTCACAAGGTTAAAGGTGAAGGTCACTAATAGCTAAATACGTAAAATGGTTTCCGGAGCATAACTTAATTAACTTTCATTTGACCCACAGTATTCAAACTTCATAGGATGATTGTCCATATTGGGTAGAAGACCCCTATTGATTTTGGTGTTACAAGGTCAAAGATCAAGGTCACTATTAGCTTAATACTGAAAATTGTTTCCGGAGCATAACCTAAGTTCCATTTGGCCCACAGTATTCAAACTTCATAGGATGATTGTTCATATTGGGTAGAAGACCGCTATTGATTTTGGGGTCACAAGGTCAAAGATCAAGGGATTACTATCACCTTTAAACTGGAAACAGTTTTCGCTCAATAACTCAAGTATTTATCGAACTACAGCTGTAAAATTTTATAGGATTAACAGCTTTATACCCCTGGTGTCTTGGTGTCCATCCGTTGTAGCATTTTTACTTACAAGATAACAACTTGATGGTGGTGCTTTGAAAACAGCAACTGTATATATACATGAATTTTCTTCAGCTATAAAGGAGGATTGCTTTTTGAAGGAGGTTATACTGTATTTAATTCCCATGTCTTCCTCACTAAAAGAAAGAGTACTTTCGGGCATATAATGCTCCGCCTAGCGGTGCTCTTGTTTTACTATAATTTCTTCGATCATTTCTTATGGTGTCTTCTTCAAACTTAATTCAAATATTTGTAATTTATTATCAACCACATCATGTGTGACAAGATTCATAACTGTAGCAAGAGTATTTCCAGAATTATTCCCCCCTAGAACTTGGAATTTTTTATGAAATTTTTTTTTTTTTTTGCTCTCACTTCTTTATTTTCTATATCTATGAGTGAAATTTTCAGTGTCATTTCTAATTGGGCACCACCATTTTCAATGTAAATCTATGATGATAGACTGGGTATTCCTGATAATGGAACGATCACAACTTTTCGACTTAATAATAATTGTCAGAAGTGTACCGAGTGAAAACGAAAACAGTGCACAAAAAAATGAATGACATCTTTAAAACAGAAAAATGAACAATTTTTTTACTGACTTCCCCATTCATAGGCTTTGTCTAATTTCATATTAGTATATTGTAAGGGGCTCATATTTAACATTTTTTTGGTTTTTGAAACATTTTAGATGAACACAAGTTTTGTTATCAGTCTAGTCTTATTTTTTCTTCCCAGGTTAGATAACTGTTCCTGCACATGTTATTGACAAGGTGTGTCACATGTGCATTATGTGGTGCAAAGCTATTGAACATTTGAGTGCTTTCTTGATACTGATACAGACATATTTTATTTTTATATTAATATTGATTTTTTTCATAGTTTTTTGTCTTCCTTTACTGCGTCCAGAATTTAATTAGTTGAGCATGGCTGTCTCCTCTGACAGCTCTTGTTATATACTCCTATTCAAAAATGACATTAATGGCTTTCCATAGGTTGATTAAAATCAAGGGGAATAACAACGTTTGAGCCTTTTGGTCACGTGATTCATCTAATTTTCGTCCTTCGGTGCGCCATCTTAGTCGGTGTTTGCTAAAAACCACCCCTTTACCTCGCGTTTATTTTAGGCGAATGTGTGATCTTTAGGGGGTCGTTTGACCCTCGGACATAAGGATTGTAATAGTGTAAACATAAACATGGCTTCCAAAATGGGACAAAGTGTTATGGACCGCGTAACAGCGGCCAAACACACTATAGCTGGCCAAGGTTTGGCCAAAACCGTTTGTAAATCAACAACAGAAGAAGTTATGGGGCCGAAAAGAAAACATTTGGATTGTAAGTATTGTTAGTTGACATTTTACAGTATGTCTGTGATTTTTGCACTTTAAGTGCATCCTAATAATGCTGGATGTCCTAGTTTTAGACCCGACAATGACAGAAAATATGTGTGAAATTCTTAAAATTTGATGCCAGTTGCTTCCCTTAATGAAAAGCCAGTTTGACATAACATTTTACAACATGTTACAATCTTTCCGTGAAATTGGATAATCAAAACAGCCAGTTTGAAAAATACAATAAAAGTACTTGACAATTTCACCAATTGTGAAAAAAAAGCAGAAAATAAAATGTTCAATGATTGGATGGATTAAGCTCAGTTTCTATAACTCTTTTTCTTGTGGATGACATACTCCTTCAATTCACTAAAGATTAAATGTAAACTCTGATTTGTTATATATGAAACAAAAAAGCTTACTTATAACTTCGCCATAGTTGTTTCAAAACTATTTGACTTCTACACATCTAATTTAATCAATATTTGGCTTCATCTTAAACCGCATGGCAGATTTTTTCAGGGATAAACAACCTTAATGTGTAGATGGTAGTAAAGGAAGGAATTTTTGCTGCGACCAAATTTAACAAATGGCCCTTTTAATATTGATTTTTAGTTTTCAACTTGTGGCACAATCATGTAGTCCAAAAAATATTTGACCTAGAGTCATAAGATTGACAGAACAGTGGCGTTTGGGGGCATCCGTGTCTTATGGACACATTTCTAGTTACATCTAGAATGAAAGAAATATCATATACATGACTGTTGATTGTCTACATGTATTTTGTATGTTCCAAAGGGGCCTAGTATGTACAGCTCTATGCTCTTGTATAATATTCTTAACATATAGAGAAAGCCAGATGTATGGAAAAATTGTGACTTGATTTATCTCTGACAAATTGGGGCCAACATTGAGCCCCATTCACTTCTGGCATGCGAGCTGTTCCCGTACAAAAATCGTAGTTACTTAAACATTATTTTTTATTACGCTCACTCACCAAAATTTAATTGTTACACATAACTATTCGGCTCGTCACACAAATCATGGAAATTCCATCATGTTCTAAACATAGAATAACCCTTAGTTATGAGGCCTCATATGGGGTACTGAAATTATCCATTATTTTGTATGAAGAGAAGTAGTTCCCGTACATAAAATTTAGCCCATTATAATTATACAATTTTGTTATATCGGACCTATTTTTCATTTACAATTGTTGAACAGACCATTTTCTAAGAGATAAATAGATATAATTCAGGAAAAAGAGTGTAGACTAAACGCTGGTATCTATTAGTATTACCCGTTACCCCAACGCATTCTCATGCAATGGCATGCTTGTATGCCATGAAATTATTTAATATAGTAATACTGATCAAAATTCTGATAATTAAACAAGTTATCATCACATTGCCTACTTATCTGTAAACAGGTGGTATTAGTGGAAAACCCTTTAACAGGCCTCAAGTGTAAGTATTTTCGCGCATGCGCACTAGGACTGAATCCCCCAGAGAAAACAAGGTCATGTTTTGACAACGCACAGGTGAAAGTTATTTAAAATAAGACTTTTATACGTACTGCCGAACTGACACTTTAATTTTGTCTCGTTTATGCATCTGCTTTATTTGAAATGAATTTTTGAAGATTCCAAGTAAAAATCAAGCGTTTAAATGAAAAATACGGGTACTGCTTCTGTACGGGAACTGCTCGCATGCCAGTAAGCTTATAGTGTCTTAAATTAACACAAATGTTTTGACAAAAATTCACAATTCTCTGACTCATTACATTGTCAGATCTCTCTTATTTATGCTAACAATATCTATATTGACAGTGACACTACCTCTAGAACCAAAAATAATTAACTTAATATATATTGCATTTTTTTAATATTCAAAACTCAGATTTATTCATTTAGATACATTTATCTTTATGCCCCCACAATGTGGGAGCATATAGTGTTGCACTTGTCCGTCCGTCAGTCTGTCCGTCCGTCAGTCAGTCCGTCCATCCGTATGTCCCGAAATCTTGTGAACGCAACTCCTCTTAAACCGGATGGCAGATTTTGCTTAAACTTACAGGGATGAAAAACCTTAATGTGTAGATGGTGGTAAAGGAAGGAATTTTTGCTGGGAGCAAATTTAACAGAATTATGGCCCTTTGTTGATTTTTTCACTAGATACTATGTAGAAACTTTGTGAACGCAACTCCTCTTAAACCAGATGGCAGATATTGCTTAAACTTACAGGGATGAACAACCTTAATTTGTAGATGGTAGTAAAGGAAGGAATTTTTGCTGCGACCAAATTTTACAGAATTATGGCCCTTTGTTGATTTTTTCACTATATACTATGTAGAAATTTTGTGAATGCAACTCCTCTTAAACCGGATGGCAGATTTTGCTTAAACTTCCAGGGATGAACAACCTTAATGTGTAGATGGCAGTAAAGGAAGGAATTTTTGCTGCAACCAAATTTAACAGAATTATGGCCCTTTGTTGATTTTTAGTTTTCAACTTGTTGCACATGTAGTCCAAAAAATATTTGACCTAGAGAGTCATAAGATTGACAGAACAGTGGCGTGTGGGGGCATCCGTGTGCTATGGACACATTTCTAGTTTACCTATGAATGATTTTTTTTCACTAATATTTCTGCTAAAATATTAATACTTATTATTAAATAGTGCTGCTGTAAGAGCATGAATGAAACCCCATTAGTTAATTAAAGTGCAGCTTCAACATCAATGAATATTCTGAATTCAAAGTTGTGTTTTTTATTCACCCCTTCATGGCAGTTGAGTCGGAGTAAAATAAAACAATTGCAAAAAGTTTATTCAAATTATTGTACTTGTATGTGTTTCTTTAAGATTTAGTTTGTCCATGTCAGTTTGTTCCTTTATTTTGTGCTCAGATTTCTTACAATTCTTGTGAATTTTTAACTCTTTTGAAAGATATAAACAAGCTGTCTGAAGGTCATATGTCAGTTTTACAGTCAGCTCTGTTGAAGGTTTAACTTTGTTCATCACAATGTGCTCAAAGGTGAGCTTTTGTCTGCTATATATCATCCTTAGGGCATGGTCTGTCATAAACTACAATGTCTTAAAAATAAAGTTCTATAAAATGTTTTTAGTGTGATCCGATACATGAGAAAATCTCTGGAGTCTAAAAATAGATTTTCTAATTGTAAAATGAAATCTTTAAAGTTAGTAGAAGGTACAAGGCTGATAGTTGAGATATTTGACACAAAGTATTGCCAACTTGCCCTAAAACATGTGGAAGTTATGTTTAACTAACATAATACTTGCCAGTGAGACTCAGATCAAAATTGGTCTTCAAGATGATTTTAATGTATTTATAACTTTCTGCTGCCCGAACATACATAATTAATGTTAATTATGGTCAATAATCTATAAAAATACCAAAGTATAATTTGCATCAGATTGCATCTGTATTGTGGGCTGATTGTAAGAAGACTTGTCATATGTATAAGTTAATGTATTGTAACAGTTTAGTTTGATCTGTATTTTTGACATTGTTGCTGATGTGACAATTGCTGTAGTATTTAGGTGAAGGACTTTTCATAACTGATTAATGAGATAAATACAAGATAATATTACTGAAAACTTCTATAAATATATGAATGTTATCAAGGGTATGTCAAAATGACGTCAATTATTAATGTATGGATAATTTTACACTGATTGTTGACCAAGGCAACATTGTGATATTGATAACTTAATTAATTGTATTACATTTATCAGGAAAGATAAAACAATATAGGATACATGTCTCTGATTTTCCTGTGAGATATATCTGGCCATTGTTTGTACTAAATGCAGCAGATTGCTGTGCACCAGATTGTTGATGTAATTTTACACCCAATTATTTCACTACACAAAACTCTAACCACTGAAAAGTCATGTAGAAAATATTTCACATTATTATTTCGTAATAAAAACTTTCTTTACCAGGGGGCAGACTGATTTCCTTTCTTAAATTGGTAAAATTTAAGTATTGTTTCCTAATAACTCTAATATTTGATATTATTATTACTGTTCATTTCTAAGAAAGATTTAAATGTGTGATCTGCTTATTCAGGAATAAATCTTTATTTGAAGAACTCCCTGTGGTGGTAATAGAAATATCTTAATCTGTTTTTAATCTCTGTTTGCCACTCCCCCAGGACAGCTGGTGATGCAATGACTAAATATAAAAAAATGTAAAATACTACATTTTTCACTCATCCCATATTGTTATTAATTGCTTGGTTATCTCAAATTGTATTGGAAACATGTTAAAAAATTTCCATAAAAAATTGATTTTGTACTCAATGTCAATGTATACATGATGCAGGTATTTGATTTGTGGGAATTAATGACTATAGTTATATGTAAAACTCCCAAACAATGGTGCAGATATATTTTAAACATGGTTTGACTTGACCACCAGAAACAAAAGTTAAATTTTAAATGCACCAAAGCTCCTTTTACAAAGTTACAGATCTTAAAAAAATTACATGCTGTACAAAGATTGGATTAACTGACATACCTGTTGTAAATTATGTTCAGCATTTGTGCATTGTTAAGAATAGAGGTGTTGATAGTATAAATCAAATATTAAATCTATCATAAACTTAAAATAATTCATCTTTTTTTTACCAGCTGTTGAGGTAATTGTGAATAACATTCCATAACTCTATAAAAAATTTAATGGAGGAAATATTTTTTTTTTGAATTACATAATTATTATGATATATAGGTCTGGACCATTCTCTACATCTGTACAGACTGATCAGGCTCGATCTATACCATGGGTTTCATAGTTTTAGATTGCGAACATGATATCCCTTAAGCTATTTTAATGGATTGTTCCTCATTCAGATTTAATAGGGTAGGTCCAGTATACAAAAGTGAAACAGTCTAATCTACATCATACAAATAATGATGTAAGTGTGTTTATATATTTAACATGTTAAAGTATTGTTTCTATTTGATATATTAGATGAACTTTATTTGCCAAATCTGATAAAGCTAATCAGATTTTATGTTATATACAATAGCTGTCAGTTTACTTGTTGAATTATCGGTTTTAAAACAATGTAATTTACTATGATTTAACTAAATTATCAATTGTTAACACTTTTCCTTTACTTTAAATTAAAGTTTGATGATATAATCTATTGTTTGAGAATGAAAAATCAACAACAATCATGTCTGAGGTATTTTATTTCCTTCCTTATAAAATTGAAATTATCTAAGAAGAGGAAAGATTGCAGTGGTTAATGATTTTCCAGGATCAGCTGATGTGCATGTAATTGTATAGGGAGGATAATGAATGTTGCTAGAATGGCAGCTTCAATGGCTGTTTACCATTGATTGATATCATGTTTGCATTTTATGTATGCATCAGGTGGTTTTATTCCATATCAACACCTGTCAGTCTTCACTTCCTGGCCCCTTCAGCAACAAAATTTGTAAAATGGACTCACTGACAGTTTCAAGTTTGGATCAGTCGTTGGTTTATTTTCTGAGTTTCAGGATCAAAATAAACTTTTTAAATAGTAATAATGGGCAGCCATTGTCTCATTGCATGGATATGTAAGCTGGCTGGGCTCTATTCTCAGTGAATTGGTGACATGAAAACTGCCTTAATAACAACCAGTAGGGTTTAAATATTGTTGTTTCTAGAATATTGTCTAAAAAGATGTAGCGTGAGCTGGTTACTGTCAGTGGATTGATGCCTGGTTTTTTCCTGCCACTGTATATAATTGTTAAATAATCAATTCCTGTCACTCATTCCCTTTTCTATTGCTTATGTTGTCTAGTTGTTTCTTCTCTACACAGAATAATTCAACTGTATTCTGTAAATTGTTTTTTCACTTACCTCGACATATGTGATTGATTAATATTTTAGATATAATGTTCTTTCAATTATGAAAAGATAAATGAGCTAATTATTATCTCTATTAAATAGGCTTTTACAATAGAGTACTAGAAACAGTTCATATGATTTAAAATCTGTTTTACAAGTAATGCATCAATGCCACTACTTTCTTCTTTGTTGTTTTAACAAAACTAATTGAAACAACATTTGGATTCAGTTAGTTTTATATGATAAGCAAAACATGATGTTTAACTTATTTTGAATTTTCAAATATTTTGTCATTTGAAGGAAAGTTTTAGTGCCATTGTCCTGTTATTTAAATATTTAATATTCATTAAACTTAAAATATGCAAAAGTTAATTATGATGCATGTACTTTATAAGTATAATTTATATGGTTTTAGACAGTCAAACATTTATTATATAACATGTATCATGACCCATTCTTGTCCTCGCACACTTTGCATAGCAATTGAAATTTATCTGTGTAGTAAGTTTATGAAAAAATTCTTAGGTTCATAATTATGACAGGTCTGTTAAATATTGATTCTCCAAATCTACTTGAAGTGGCTTGAATTGTGGCATGAATTATGACAAAGTACGGTACTGTTTAGCTAGAATTGATTCCAACAAGTAATTTCAATGAGCTGGCTTGAAGTATTGATTCTCTGGTGAAGAAGGTTCATTGATTTTGCCATATATCCTCTATATGGGCAATAACACTTTTTCCCTACCTCCCTCACTTGTATATTAATGTAAATTATATAGGTCTTATGTTGTAATGATACAGGCCAGTTTATTGAGTTTCTGTCTTCCTAGAAACATGTTTTATAGTCAGACAGTAAGAAAAAATGTTTTATCAATATTGTGCAGTAATGCACCTTCAGAGGTCATCATAATTGTCTATTATTCATTTTGCAATTGGAAGATACACTGTGGAATGAGTTAGCAATTATCTTGTCATTAAGTGAAATGCTTCAGCTTTGCTTGTATAAGATGGTGTGGTGTGTATTGACTATGTATTGACTGTTGTATGTAATTCTAGTTACTTGTTAAACAGTGTTGGGACATTGATTTATTCTCTAAAACAAATATACAATGAAGCTAATTGGCAAGCACTGGTTAAAATATGAACATTAGTTGATGATATAGTGAAAGTCAGGATGACACACAAGATAAAGTGAAACTTTCACTTTCATAACAGTATCCCTTTATTGATAAGCATATTGTAGCAAACTTTAAAAACCCCTTAAATTAGTGTTTATTTTTTCATTGTTTTTTGTGGTTGCTGTTAATTACCTCAATAAGGACATTAATTTGTATGAAGCATTTTCTATTAATTTCAATGAGTAATTACGAAGAAAATACAAAAATTTCCTAACATGTTCTGTTGGGTTTATTAGAATGTAAAGTATATAGATTTTTTTATTGACAGTAGTCTTAGCTATTTGCAGTGTAGAGCATCAGAAAAAGATCTGTTTACAATTAAAAGAATAAATCTCATTTCCTGTTAGACTAAATACTCAGGATACAGAATTAATTGGGTTTGAAAATTGTGAAACTGTTGCAGGGATAGGACCTGTGTGTGTGATTACAGTTGGCTGGGGATTGACACTTTTATAGTAACCAGAAATGTTTTCCTATATATAATTGCCTGTAAGATGTGTAAAACATTGCTGTTTTGTCTTTATAGTCTCCCAACATCCTACCTGTTTGTTTCATATCAACTTAAGTCTGTTTGAAAATAAATGGAATGTGACTCATTGTTTTGTATTTATATTAGTATTAAGTCACTCCTGTTTAATATGTTAACAGTTAAAACTATCTTGGGCTTCACATCAAAAGAATCTTACCAGTTATTAAAATATGGAGTAATGCAGTTATTCTGGCTTTGATTGTTCATATCATACAGTACCTAGTTGCTATGCAATCATAGTATCCCATTGATTTGGATGTACTGAAGTTTTCCTGTTTGCTTTGATTTAAAAAGTCATTCTCATTAAAGTGAAGAATTTTTATATTGTCCCCTTCCTTAAAAAAATAGTTTAGAAAATAAGCCAGTTTTAACATTCACTTTTCCCTGGTGATGAGTTATATTTTCAATAAGAGCTATATTACCCAAAAATTGAGTTAGTTTGGTGCAATCTTCTTGTTTTGGGGGAATTTTCAAGATTTAACTGGGAATTATCAACTATATTACAGTCTTAAAAAAAGTTGGAAGAAAGGCCTATAATTGGTCCCAGTCTATTATATGCGGAAAGAAAATCAACAGAACAAAGCAAATGCAAATCTGGTTCTAATCACATTAAACTTGTTAACTTGAAAATCCTAATTGAGGAGTATGAATAAAACGTTGGCTAGTAATCAAACACCCCAAGTAGTGGCTTATAATACACCAATACTTAAATTACTTGTTCATTACTTGTTCCTGAATGATTGAGTCAGATATGAATAGCCTGCAAACTTAAGTTTTAATTAAGACAATATTCAGTGGTGAATGCAAGCTTCTATTTTCATATATGGCTTTTACCATTTATTTTTTTGAACTCTTGATGTAAAATTTTCTTAACTCTTACCATGCAAAATATCTAAAATGGACTTGTCTATCATTCAGTCTGGACTTGGAACATGAAATAATTTTAGGTAAAATTTCAAAATAAGTACCGGTACTGACTAAATTGCAACCAGTACAGACCATGATAATATGGCATGGATGTGCTGTCTGCATTGATCCAGTCACTGCCAACAGGCTAAAGGTTACTTAGACTTGATTTTTTTAAACAACATGTTAAAAATTTATATTTCATTGTATATGATTATGAACATCAAAAGTGCTATTTCTCATCATTTAATTATGTATTATTGTATGTTTTCAGATTTGTTACAGTGTACAAATGAGCCAAATGTATCTATACCTCAACTAGCGGACCTTCTTATAGAGCGTACACAACAGACTAGCTGGGTTATCGTGTTCAAATCCCTTGTTACCATTCATAATCTAATGAACTATGGAAATGAAGTAAGATATTTCTGTCCTTGAACAGTCAGTGGTATTTATATAGTGAATGAATAATATCATGTCACAAACATTTAAAGGACTAGGATTTGAGTATTGAATTAATATATTGTTGTTACAAACCTAGTTTTTCGTACTTCTTCGTATATCAACTATTGTAGTGGAGATTATCCATACACAGTATCTTTGAATACCAGTATTGTAGGTTTGATAGATGCACCCATTTCCTGGAACTAACCAGTACTGGTATCATATAAAGATGCATGGTCTTGACCCATGAAGGGCTTGATCCCCACTAGGCAACCGCTCTACTTAATGAACAAATTTTATGTCGAAATTGAAAAACATATGTAGTTACTTTAGCATCTTATATATCAAAAGACACGTAGACTGGCCTTATTCTATACATAGTCATAATTAATCCAATCCTTATATTAAGAACTATATTAAGTACAATTACTATTCAGAATTTTAACAGTTTGTCGTTTATTTCAGAGATTCACTCAATACCTGGCATCAAACAACTGTTCATTCAATCTGTCAAATTTTGTTGACAAAACTGGTGTACAAGGTAATATGAATTCTCCACTCAATTAAAATGTTTTCAGCCTGTATTGGAAGATAAACATATGTAGATTTTAGTTAAGGAGGTCCTGCCAGTTTGTTTTGTGGCTGTAGGCACAATATATTTGTACTGTGTTTACATGTATCTGTAGTGCATGACATTTCTACTCAATTTTGAAATTACTTAGAGACTGAGCAACAAATTATCAATATTTTGAAATATTTTGAGCATTACATATCTTCAAAGTCATACTAAGAAATGATACTAAGGTTTTTTTTGGAACAAAGACCTGTTTTATATGGCATAATCTTACATTGTGTTTACAGGTTACGATATGTCAACATTTATCCGAAGATATGCCAAATACCTGAACGAGAAAGCCGTTACATACAGACTGATGGCTTTTGATTTCTGCAAAGTAAAGAGAGGTCGCGATGATGGTTTGTTACGTACAATGAATTCAGAAAAGGTTAGAACTGTTCTATATTCATTGAATAATTGAGAGTATTTGATGGATTTTGTGCATTCTATTCATATTTAAATAACAGATAGCTGATCATATAGATTTAAATGAAATCTCATTATGAAAGAACAGAATGTAGGTAAAGTAAGTTCTTGTTTGTAAATAAGTCAGATTTTTAGATTTTATACTCCAGTATTAATCACAGTTGAAATAGGTAATGGATGTATCACCTAACCTTAAACATGCTAAAATTTTATAATACACTGGACTTGTCTGTATGTAGAATTGTTGATTTTAAAAGAAAATACATAACAAAAATGTCAACATTGAACAGTCGAACAGTAAAATCTTGACAGACTGCATTGAAACATAAAGTGGCTTAACTCTATATCTATGGCAAAGGCCTTGGACTGTTAACATAAAGAAATCGATACATTCTCTTGATTTGTATTTAATCTTTTTATGCAGTTTATTGTCATTTTGTTACAGTTGTTGAAGACTTTGCCAGTTTTACAAAAACAAATAGATGCTTTATTAGAATTTGACGTAAGTATTCATTACATGTGTTAGTCTGAATAAATAATTTGGAAACGCTGCTTTAACTTTCCTTGAAGGGGAGTGGTGGCCTAGTGGTTTAGGTGTCTGCCTCTCAACCCAGGGAACATGGGCACAAGCCCTGCTTGGGTCATAACCATGTTTCTTCATATGACACCAGTACTGGTTGGTTCTGGGAAGTGGACTCGCAAGTGGTTAATATAAGTTGCAAGAACTTGTTAAATAAATACTTAAACTCCTTGATAAATTTATCAAATTATTATTTAGGATATAAAAAGATACAGATGCCAATCATATTATTCACTCTGAGTTGATTATATGTGTTGCATTGTTTCTTTGGTACACCTGTAACTATTTTGAAGAAAAAGGGAATGCAAGTCCAGTAAATTACAACACATTTGTTTTAATTTGTAGAATTTTGTTAATATTATTAGTTATAAAGACAGGTTATATACTTTATAAATGATTGTTTGTAAATATAGTCCAAGCTGTTGTATAGCAAATAAGGGTTTATATAATCAGCCATATAACCTGTCAAGAACCTTTATTATAGATTTATAATAATGCAAACTTCCTTTTAAGAGATAGAAATGAAATTTCTTCATAAATTGACAGCATCCATGTAAATAGTTTATATAAACGCCACAATTAAATAATGAAAAGCAGCATTACAATTTTGCAGTATTATTAATATTAATATACTGCTAAGTAATATTTTTTGCTAAACTGTTTTAGTTACTCACTTATATAGAGAAGCATTAAGTATCAATCTGAAATGAAGTATGTAAATAAAGGTATATTTTGATAAATGTTTTGTTTATTATATTTCAGTGTACAGCCAATGAATTGACTAATGGTGTGATAAATGCAGGCTTTATGCTGCTGTTTAAAGATCTTATACGTTTATTTGCCTGTTATAATGATGGTACAATCAATTTATTAGGTGAGGACATAATACTTACTATAAGTTATTCTTATCAATGTATGGTCATATGCAGCTAAAGAAATACATCCTGGTTGATTTTCTTATACAATATAGTTTACACCTTATATTGCTAGAGTATTTACATCACAAATGTTAGAGGGTATTGTATTCATACACATTCCTATTATTAATAATGATAACATCATAATAACTAAACAAGTATCAATAACCTTGTGCAAAGCTTAGTCATATAGCCATAAGTAAAAAAAATAATTCTTTACTTTTGTTTAAATTTTCTGTACAGTGATACATTACCAGGAAAATTACATGAGAGTTCTATTCTTGATGATTTATCATTCTTTTTGTTCTGTAAAGTTTTATTTCTTGCTGGTTTGTGTGAATTCAACTTTCCACAATCCACTGTTGTTTTTTACTCTCAGCTGATACAAGCCTTCAAAAAAGCACACTATTGCAAAATTTCTTCTTTATAATCTATGTAACATATATTGTTAAAGTGTTTAAGGCACTCCTAGCACCTTAAAAGGATATCATGTCTGAAAGCAAATTATTTAACTGTAATGACTGGTATATCTATGGCATTAAATGATATCATAAATGACTCTGATAGATTAAAACCTTACATGTCATGATAGAAAATCTAAGTGTTTTCCCTGAAGCTAAGATGATTCTATATGAATTCAATTAGGATACAATTTGAATTATATCTACTTGTGACAGATGATCAGTTTGAATTTGAATGCCTAATACAAGTGCAAGTACATGTGTTCTAATTTAAAACAAACAGATATTTTCTTTGCAAGAGCAATTCAGATTTTAATTTTAAAAATGCTAAATTGTATGTTCAGTTATATGCATTATTGAATTGCAGAAATAAAAAAGAATACTGCAATAAGACATTTACCTACTTTGTTAAAATATAGTAATTATATGAACTTTTGAACTAAAAATACTTTTCAATTTCACTGATTTTATGTTGTTTTGTTTTTTCAGAGAAATTTTTTGATATGAACAAGAAACAATGTAAAGAGGCATTAGATATTTATAAAAAGTTTTTAGTGAGGATGGATAAAGTCTCAGAGTTCCTAAAAGTTGCTGAGGTAAGGATTATATGCTGATGTTTCAACATTATACTGTCTACAAGCTAACCCCCTATTATAAACAAACTAAACTGGTCACATGGGTAGATTCAGTCACCTGTAGCAGGTGAATAAAAAGACACATACTGAATATTTTTTTTAACAATCATTATGTGTGTATAATTATTGCAGGCCTCGACACTAATTTTTTTAGCAGGTGGTATGCCGGACCACTAGATTTAAAAGCTAGGTGGTCCTTCCAGAAGCCGGGTGGTCAGTTATCATTATTATATCATTTTACTGCAAATGTAGAAAAAATGTTTAAACTTGATGACAAAGATGTATTATTAACCTTTAAAGAAAACAGATATTTTTAGATATATATTTTTCATCTAATCAGAAAAGGGAGAGCAAGTCAGTAGGTATTTTATCGTAGAGTTATTTGTTTGTTTGTTTTTATCTCATTCAAAAATACACAACAGAGCTCTTACTTATGTTAACTTTTATATTGAATTGATTTCTCCCTCAACTCAAGTTAGGGAATAGTGAAGCCATTTGTGTCTGTTATTTTCTTACTGTTATTCAAATATTCATTGCTGATACAATCATGATAATAACATAGTACAGGGCTTACACTGGCTCAAATGAAATAATAGCCAATATTTTCAACTTAAAAAAATAATAGCCAAAAGTTCAGCGAACTATTCACGATTTAGCGATTAACAACATAAGTAAACATTACAAAAAATAAATAAAAAATAAACATTACAAATAAACTTTTTCAGTTTTATAAGGATTCTCAAATAAACTGATACATTTTTTGTGTATATTGATAACTACCTTTTTTTTTACATAGAACCACAACTTTAATTGTTATTATAGAAAATAGAATAAAAATGTTACATAGTATAATTACTGTATAACAATAATATTAAAGATTCTTTACAACTTTACATATTAATGCTGTTATCAGACAATTTCTTTTTTTTTGTTCTAATCAAATTTTGTCAGCTATAACCACTGTCAATACAGAACTGGAGTAGATCTAGGTCGTATTAGCCTGTAGAAATAACACTTGCAAACTCATTCACAGAATGCAGCCTTTTTTCCTGAAAAACTTACTGAAAAATGTCATCATCACCAATGTAAAACAAATTTTCTGCGATAAAAGTAAAGATTTTTAAACAGAACATAGCTTATTTTCACCTTAAAATAAATAACAAAATTATCGGTGTCGCGAAAATATGTGACAATCGGATTGTTTCCTGTTTTCTGAAGAAATATTCACAATTTTGGTTGTTGTCAAAAAAGTTGTTTGAAAGTTAATACTTTTTAAATATTTTATCATTGATTTCCACTGGCGATTTAGTCAAGCAGCTTAAAACAAAAAAAAAAATCAAAATTTGCAATTACTACAATTTACGGTAAATTTTGGGTTGATCAATATCCAGTTTATCAATTTTAAGACGATTTTTGTGGCTAATTGATGAATACTTGATGGCTTTTATAATGCTGGACAATATCTTCAAAGTACTTATACAATTTTACATCTCGCATGTATTTCTATCATCTCGGGCAATATGGTAAGCAGCACGTGACCGATCAAAAGTTGACACTCAATTAAATCCACCCCGCTGGTGTTAATTGGGTCTACTGCATTCTTTATCGATTTTTACACTTTATTTAAACACTGTTGGAAGTAAAAAATAATCGCCAGATTTTGTAGCCAAAATGCAAAAATAATCGCCAATCTTATAAAATAATCGCAAATGGCGACTATGGCGACCGACAGCGTGAGCCCTGTAGTATCTTTTATAGATTAACATTTGTAATGAAACTAATAAATTATCTTATTCTTGTCTTTGAAAACAAGAAAATATCTAAATTATTAAAATAATAACAACGTTATATATAACTATAGTTTATCTTATTTTTCTCACAGATTTATAATACAGAATTTTACCTCCCTGTTGCTTGTTGGTTGATATTCATTTTTGACATTAGGTATTTTTAACCTTTTAAAATAATTATAACTCTAGAAGAAATAGATCTTTTATCGTTATACAGTTAAAATAAAGATAAATAGCATAGAATTACTAGTTGTATTTTTTCCAGTTCCTTTTGTTTGCTGCCGTTATTCAAGTTGAAATTTAAGTTTATCCAATATAATATAATTACCATCATCGGATACTCACGGTTGATAAACATGTAACATAACATAAATGTTAATGGTTCCGCTGTGGTTACCAGATAATGCATAATTACTAGCACCATTTGAATGGATTTTGTACCTAAATTAATATCACAAATTCTTAACTCTTTTAACTTGCATAAACAAAACTTTAGCGACTTAAAATGAAAGTTACTGATGACTTAAGAACTTCTTTAACTAATCAGAGATTAATGATCATATACATGTCTTTTTGTACATGTATTGGACACATGATTTTAAACAAAATTATATAACATGTTTTTCACCAAATTGCCATTCTTCCAAATGAGCCTTGCAGCAACCAGAAAATTCAAGTGGTCCGACGGACCAGTCGGTTTTAAAATTAGGTGGTCCTTGCTAAAATCAAGTGATCTCGGACCAACGGACCACCGCTAATGTCGAGGCCTGTATTGTATTGACAAAATGATGATATAGTTCTACCGGTTATAATTGTCATAAAAACATGATAAAATAGTGTATATCTTATGTATATATTTTGATTAAGTATGATTAATCACACAAATGCATGATTTGCAAATATGATTCATTCATTATAGCATGGGGCATTTATATTTGCCTTAATTTATCTTCATCAGATCCAAAATGTAGACATACTTTAACATGATAAGAAATGCAATAAAATTACATTCATTATATAAACATTATATAAACCTTATCTAGTTTACTACCAGCAAGGTAAGTTACAGCATGGATCTGTCTACACAACATTCTTGGCAGTCAAAAATTGAACTTTTGATTTCCAAACATTTCTAATAACTGGAATGAAGGAGCTCTAACCTTGTCTGAAACTGGATCAAATTATTTCTAAACTTGTCTTGAAACTGGAACTGCTTATTTCTGAAACTGAAACAATTTCTGAACTTGTCTTAAAACTGGAATTGTAATTTCTGAAACTGGAACAAACATATTTTGATTATGTTTTGAAACTGGAACTAATGATCTTTCAACAGGAACAACAACGTATTCAATATAACAAAATGTAAATGACAAGATTATTGACATGTTTTTGCAAACAAACTGTATGATATTGTTTGTGTATTACAGAATGTTGGTATAGACAAAGGAGATATTCCAGACTTGGCCAAGGTAAGTTTCCATGTACTATCTGCCTGGCTATATGTAACATTCATTTATCATTTAGTTTCATCATAAATATAGTCAAGATTTTTCATTCATAATGCTTCATTTAATATTGTTTACTGTGATATAATTTTATTAGCTCACCTGTCACAAAGTGACAGGGTAAGCTTTTGTGACACTTTTCGTCTGGTGTCGGTCTGTCGTCCGTTAACTTTTACTTTAGATGATATCTCCTCATAAACCGCTGAGCCAATTTAATCCAAACTTCACAGAAATGTTCCTTTGGTGGTCACCTTTAAAAATTGTTCAAAGAATTTAATTCCATGCAGAACTCTTGTTGCCATGGCAACCGATAGAAAAAACTTATAATATCTTCTTTTAAAAAACCCAAAGAGGTAGAGCTTAGATATTTGGCATGAAACATCTTCTAGTGAGTGTCTATTAAGTTTGTTCAAATAAAAGCCCTTGGGTCAAAATTGGCCCCGCCCGGGGGTCATTATTTTTCCCTATATGCATATAGTAAAAACTTAAAAAATCTTCTTTTAAAAAACCCAAAGAGCTAGAGCTAAGATATTTAGCATGAAACATGTTCTAATGGGTGTCTACCAAGTTTGTTCAAATAAAAGCCCTAGGGTCAAAATTGGCCCGGCCCCAGGGGGTCATTGATTTTCCCTATATGCATATGGTAAAAACTTAAAAAATCTTCTTTTAAAGAACCCAAAGAGCTAGAGCTAAGATATTTAGCATGAAACATCTTCTAATGAGTGTCTATCAAGTTTGTTCAAATAAAAGCCCTGGGGTCAAAATGGGCCTAGCCCCAGGGGGTCATTGATTTCCCTATATGCATATAGTAAAAACTTATAAAATCTTCTTTTAAAGAACCCAAAGAGCTAGAGCTAAGATATTTAGCATGAAACATGTTCTAATGGGTGTCTACCAAATTTGTTCAAATGAGAGCCCTGGGGTCAAAATTGGCCCTGCCCTGGGGGTCATTGATTTTATTTATGTGTATAGCAAAACTTAAAAAATCTTCTTTGAAAAAACCCAAATAGCTAGAGTTAAGATATTAAGCATGAAACATCTTCCAGTTAGTGTCTTCAAAGTTTGTTCAAATAAAAGCCCTAGGGTCAAAATTGGCCTTGCCCAGGGGGACATTGATTTTCCTTATATGTGTATAGCAAAAACTTAAAAATCTTCTTTGAAAAAAACCAAATAGCTAGAGTTTAGATATAAAGCATGAAACATCTTCTAGTGAGTGTCTTCAAAGTTTGTTAAAAAAAGTTCTGGGGGCAAAACTGGCCCCGCCCTAGGGGTGTCATTGCTTTAAACTATATGTGTATAGTTAAAACTTAAAAAATCTTTTTTTTAAAAACTCAACGAGCTAGACCTTAGATGTTTAGCATGAAACATCTTGTAATGGGTGTTTACCAAGTTTGTTAAAATAAAAGCCCTGCCCCACTCTGGGGGCCTATATACAGGTGAGCGACTTCAGGGCCATCATGGCCCTCTTGTTATAGTTCCCATTGTCACTCCATATTTTGTTGTAGAGATATTAAGTTTTATGATATTTTTTTTCAAAATTTATCAAACACTAACGTTGCTTCATATATAGTACACCTAAGTTTTGTTAATTTTCCATTATATTTTTAATGGTAAAGTTGCACATACTTCATACACAATTGTAGGCATGATATACATGTATATTTTGATATTTTATTTATTTGATGGAGAATTTTCAATAAGGCATGTTTGTATGTTTTATTTATGTGAAAATTATGAATGTGAGTCATGGGTCTTTCCAACTGGTGAACCTGGTCTGATTTCTGGTCGCAGCTTATATCCCTGTTTACATTACTGCTTGCTAGCATTATCCACTTTATTCTAGAGATATACATGTATACTATACATGTGTGCTATTCTTATATTTGCATACCAAACATATCCATTTAAATACTTTAGTTAAGTTTTTTATCAGAAACATGTATGTTAGGAAGTGTTTTATTAACGTACGTTTATAATGAATGAAGTGTGGTAAATGTAATAAAGTATAAAGTATGTGCAACTTCACATAGTTACTGTTGTGTTAAAGTTAAGTTTTTTGATCAAGTTTAGTTTTGATAAATTTTATTCACTTCCCAGGGTCTTATAGGCACTTCCAAAGATCATGTAAGTCCATGTTTGAGTAATAATTGCATGATCTGGCTGTTCATTTGTTGATGTATGAATAAATAGGTGAACATGTAAAACCCATACATTATAGAAATCATTTAACAATGTTGATAACATAATCTTCACTTAATATTTTTGAGGGCTTAGAGCGAAACTGGTCCATCTTTATATAGATATAGAAGCAGATAGACTAGTTTTGCTCTAAACCCTCAATTTTTTTTAATTTTATATTTAACAACAAATGAATGGAAAGCCATGCATATTTACACCCACTGACAACTGCATACATTCTTTGACTGCTTTGCTAGAGAACAGTGTCATAGTTTCTCTGCTCTTTGGGATCAAATAAATTCATGTTTGAAGAATTGTTTTTTTCTCTGGGCGTCGGGTTTTCCTCTTTTGGTACAAAGGAGACCTTTGAAATTGAGCACTGATTTCCAATATTTAATTTTTACGTTGTTTACATCTCACATTCTGAAACATTGGTTTATTGAAGGTAAAGGATTACATTTGTTAATGAGTAAATGTTATATGTTTAAAAATGTTGGCAAAAACATATATTTTTAAATGGGAATTGTAAATATTTGTAATAAAGCAGACATGCTGCTCCTGGAAAAGATCACAGCAGATAGACTATGATATTGTGGTCTCTTCAGGAGTAAAGAATTTATTGTAAACAGGTTTGTCTAATGTCACATTAATCTACCAGTGAGGTAATTACAATTTGGCACACAATTTTGTTTTTTTTTTCCTTGAGGCATTATTTTGGTTTCAAAAGGAAAAACAACTTTCTAAAATTGATGGCATGTCAAAAAGGTGTTATTTACTTATAATCAAACTGGTAAACACACAAAAAGTTGAAAGAAACGGTAAACACAAAAAAAAGAAAAGTTATGTATCTTACTGTCTTTGACATACTATAATGCTTGAATCAAATATGGAACATACTGTAGATCCATGTATTATCTCTTCTATACAGTATTTAGGACCAATGTAGTATAAATTGATCCCTTGCATGAAAATGCATTTTATAAGACCCTGGGGAGGCCACAATATAGACCTAACATTTTTATGTGTTATATTATATATGTGTAATACTTACATCAATCTATCATATCTTTGCTTTAAATGTAATTAACTTCTGACAAATTGTTTAATTTAGTAAATAGTAATTATATAACCAGTATTTGTTATTCAAGCATAATTGAAGGTAGGCATAGGGATATTCTTCCATTTTGTCATTATTTTGTTAAGAATTGTTTAGCTTTAAGCTTAACAAAGAAACATGCTATTAATGGATCAAAGTGATCTGCTAAGATTTTGTTTTCATTGAGAAAAACTTGTATGTCATCAATTCTTCTTTTAACAGGTAAATAATTTATCTACTAGTTCTTAACTCTTTGTTATATTTAAGTTTTTATTGTAAGTCTGTGGAATTGGCAAAGGGAAATCTAAAATTATTTATTATTTTGATATATTGTGTATATGTTTTAGGCACCATCTAGTTTATTGGATGCCCTTGAAGAGCATTTGAAGTCATTGGAAGGCAAGAAAGGTGTGGCAACAACAGTTGCACCACCACCAAAGTAAGTTTATTATCTAGACACACCTCACTCTTAGCCATTTAATTCATATATTTTATCAATTTAAGTTATGTTACATGAGAATATTAGTTGTTCAAGAATCAGCCTGCAAGTTTTACATTCTAATGATGCCCAGCAATATCAGAATTAGTGGAACATGTGTGAGTGATTTTAGAATTCTGGCTTTTGCAGTTCTCAGCACATATATGTAGAAAGTTCTGTACTTAAGAGGTATAAAAATTTAGTAAATTTTAACATCTGAATTTAATCATCCATTCCCTTCATACTTTACAATGCTTTACAATGAATACTAATGATATACCATTGTGGGAGTTACTGATTTTTTTTTTCCTCCAACATTTTTTTTAATGTATTTTTATTGTTTCAGTAATTAGAAAATGTCATGTTTGGTTTTAAGTATATGAGTATGATTTATATATATATACATTTGTTATAGACCATCAGGCTACAACTCGGCCATCAACCAGATTGCTGGTAACAGTACAATACAGGTATCAGAAGAGGAAAAACGTAAAATCCTAGAGGAGGAAAGTAAACAACTACAACAATTAAAGGTAACTTCTTTTACCTGTCATTTGCAGTGTATATTTTTTTTCTCCATACCTTTCTATATATCGAAATTCTTAAATCACACAAACAGATTCTATTATTTCTTAGAGGTGGATGCTACAGTTATAAATACATTCAATTAGGGATGGCAACGATTACTGAATTAAGTACTGTAAGTAATCGGTTATTCTTCTAATAGAGTACCCAGTTTCTAAAAAGATTTCATAGGACTTTAAAACTGTGTAACTACAATCTTTGGAAATTCAATTTCATAACCAGCCGAAAATGTTTTAAGAGACAGTTTTTGTTTGTCACCTGTTAACTGATGAATGCCTCATTAAGACATTAACCATTGTCAATTTGTTGTTAGATATTCTCACTGGCACAGATGTTTTTATTACATTCAGCAAGTTTAAATGTTTCTGTAGTGAAAGATGTACAATTTATGTATCTCAGAAAATCTTAATTATTTTATTTCACTATAATTATATTTAGACGGAAAAATGATGTGATACTTTTTTCTACCAAGTACTCCAGTGTCAATTTGTTAACTGATACTCAGACATTCGATCTAGTACATGTACTCAATTCATCAGTCATTCATTGCCATCCCTACATTCAATGGATAGGAAATAGGAGTTAAATAATTCAAGGACAATTTGATATTCTTTTGAAAAATTGAAATCATGAGCCTACAGATTGTATTTCACTGGAAGTACGTGATTGACTTCTAAACATTGTTGAGCAGATATTTCTTTTAGAAATTAAAATATGGAAGTGTCTTGTAAAAGGTTTATTTTGTATTCTAAAGCTTTATTTTCTGTCCAGTAAAAGCATAGGCTCAATGGTGTTGCCTAGTATAACTTTCTGATAAATTTAACTTGTCTTCATGCATCTACATGCATTCTTAAGACTTGGTGTGACTGTATAAATCCTTTATTCTCTATTACATTGTAAAAACAAGATCATATTTATACATATATATGTATATGTAAAAAGTAAAATGCAACAATGTAGTAGTTTAACAGAAATTAGTTTCACATAAGACATTTAATGTAAAGGTTGTTGCTGAAGGGGTTAATGTCTGTGAAATGATTGAGATCAACTTTATTTTCTCTCAAAATTAAAATCAGCCAGACATTAAATAGGCAGGGGTTATCTAATCAAGGCTTACTACAGGGCTGGATGTGGCACCAACATGACATTTTTGTGATAATTTGGTTGAAGTTTATCATTATCAGCTCCTGATGCAAGTGCATTTTGCAGAAAGGTTCATAGTAAATAACAGAATAAGAGGCTACTCCTAGTACGGAACCTAGGACAGTAGCTAGATATGTTCCTCCCACTGCTTAATGACTGTTGCAAGAACTATTTCTATAAAGTCAATAAAGAATAAAACCCATCTTTCATATCCTTCCACAATTTCATAGACATCATGTAGTACTTGAGTTGAAACTATCTGCCGGTGAAATATGACATACATTTCGCCTTTATTATACATATAACATACATTTCGACTTTATTACACAACTATTTATAGGTTTACCAGTTCTTTTTTTCTCAGTATTAATAAATATTGCATCTATTTCTTTATACATATACTTTTTGTTTTGCAAATTTACATTTTAGAATGCTTTGCTTTATGCATTCAGTGATTTACTTGTTGCAATGCTATATATGATAAACTGCAAATTTTGATGACCTGTGCTATATTTGATTTAATGTGCTGTATTTTATAAAGTACACTGTTTGGTACAAAAAATATGATAAAAAATTGGGGTATATTTGTTAATAGAGCATTGCTATTAAATGCTGTATCCTGTACTATATATAACCTTTCAAGGTTGAAGCAAAGTTAAAATGTGTGCCTTTTAGAGATTTTTGTTAATCTTGTATGGGAATGCCTTATCAATCAGGAAGCCTATCCAATATCAACAGCCCTTGAAAACTTCAAATATTTTGCCAAAGAAGCAATAATTCCCTTGTCTAGCTTTTACAACATTTAATCAAAATACTGCAGTTGATGGGCTCTGCTTTATTTTGAAGTAGTTGTACTGTATATAGTAAAGTATGATCTATAAGTGAGCTTATCAATGAAAACAGACAGAACATGGTATTGATTTGTGTGTTTCAACCATCAATTATTTATGATGTAAAACACAAGCTGTCTTTTGTAGATAACTGTATTTGCCTCTATTGTTTTCATTCATTTTTTCCCAAGCAAGTGATCTTTGTCATTTATCAATATTGAAAATGATGCATCATATTTAAATTAGTGGACAGATTTTTCATGATCTGTTTGGGTAACTTATTGCCTGCCCAAGTAAACTCTACACATAATGTATATATACAGGGTATGACAAGTAATATAAGGGTTATTTTTCAAGGTACTTTAACAGACCTTACAAATAAGATATTTAATTTCAAAAATCTGTTTTTTTAAGCCGCCAATCTGCCCAGCCCCTGCCCCCAATAAAAAAAGAAAAGAAAAAAAAAAATAAATAAAAAGTATCCTTGTAAAAGTATACTCTTGTTTTTGTTTTACCTAAAAATTTTATATACAGTTTGATCACATTGTTCCATAAAGCACACCAATATCTCTTACAGCACAGGAAATCTGGTTTTCCTCTCTGTTTATATTGAATTATAATAGTATTTGCATCATGTCTGCATGGAGACTGTTTATCTATCTGTCAAGATTGATAATACAATAATCTTGTAGGGGAACATGTTACACTGAAATTCTCTTGCCTACTTTATGTGAACAATACCAGAATCATCTAGTTTCCTTGTAAAAGAAATTGTATTCAGGAAGTTTAAAATCTATATGTATTACAATATCCATGTCTATGCACAAGGTGCTGTTGAGTTACTATTTCAATTTGTATTGTTATTCACTTAAATATATACACCTCTTAGTTGAAATCTTCAGTATCTATTTTGCATTATATAATGGATTGGGAAAACAAATCATTTAAAATGCTAGTCAAGCAAGAGGTCTTATAAACTGTGACAGTAAATGTTAAGATGTTTGACTACATATGAATACTGATTGGTGTTGTTCTATTCAGGGCTCCAGCTTGACAGACAAGGTAGTATTAGAATTCTGACATAACCAAAGAAATGCTTTCTTTCAGCTTATAAACAAAAGCTACATTTCTAATTTTAATGTATCCAATATTTCTGTAAAAAACAAGCTGTAATATACTTTTTAAGTTGGAAAACAGTTTAAAAATTGTTATTTGGAGAATATATAATATGTTGAATGTTAAACAGTTGCTATAAATTAATATTTCTGTTGAATGTGTGTACACATGTTGCCTGCATCATGTAATACCATGTATCATTATAATAAAACATCACACATTCTAAAGGTACTTTAACAAAGCTTTATAATTATAATGCATACATAAGTTTTCAGTTACTAACAGAAACAATATTATCGAATGGATAGATATTTTTTCAAAAAAGAGTCAAACATTTTATAGCCTATTAATCTTCAGATATATTTATTGATATATTCATGTTTGAATGGATTCTATTGTCACTTTAGTGCAGTAACTGGTTATTACTCCTTTTAAATTATATAAGCAGGTAACAGTACAGCACTAAGGTGACACAATGTCCAAAAATTGATAGCTTTGTGTAAAAATTAGTTACTTGCTATAAGGTTCATTCCTTGGTATAGTTTGGTAGGTGACAAAATGCCATTGTTATAATTGACTGATTTAGGGACATATTTCTTTTCCTACTTAATCCTACATGAATTACTGAATACTCCTTTGCATGGGTTATATGAATGAAGCTTTGGGTTGGATTAAGTTGTTCCTGGTCACATCATAATGATGCATGTACAATCTGGTATTGAAGGTTACAGTTTTTGAGTTTATAACAATGACAATGGTGTTTATACAGCCAGTATAATTTCAGGCCAGTCTTCATATCCATACAGTCTTATCAAGCTCCTTACTATTAGCATGACTATTTTAACCATTTTGACTTTGAAATACTTGAAAAGAATGATGGTCAGTTAAACTTTTAAGTCAGTAATGTCAGGACTTATAGATATGTTATAATTTCTGTATATATATTTATCATATTAGATAGGGCGACTTATAGTTGATCTTTGTTTTAATGATATACAATATAATTGTATGATAAAATCAGAGAATAATAATAACCCTAGTACTAACACTGACAACTATATTACTATCAGGAAGGGCATCAGGATGGTCCTGTCATTGATTTATTGTCTGATGAACCTCAGGTACTCAAACTTCACTGCATCACTTACATTACACTGGTCGAAATTTTCAACTTCTGTTGAAAAATTTTCATAGAAGCTACAATGTTCAATCTAGCACCTTTGTGTTTGAACTTATCATAAATACAAATTTATATATAAGCTAAACAAAGCATGTGCTGATGCAGTGAATGTGGCTAAATAAACAAGCTGACTGTCTTTTGTGATGTATTAATTGAGATTTTAGGTATATTGCTTCATTTTGTACAAAATTGACCAACTCGAAATTAAGATTTTTTTTTCAGTTTTCCCAGCTAATTTAGGGACACACACAAACTTTTACAGTTATATTTTTGAACATAAGCACAAGAGGTTGTCAAATCTATTGTGAAAGGTAGTGCACTGTGAAGCTATAACGGTAAATGTTTGTACCGGGAAATTAGCTTGGAAAATCCAACCTTTGCCTAGTTCTGTATGACAACTGTTGGGATAACATTTGGCATATCATCTGTTTGTATAAATTAATTGAGATCATTTAAGGGATATAAATTAGTTGGGATTATTTTAGGGATATAAATTAGTTGGGATTATTTTTAGGGATATAAATTAGGTGGGATTATTAACCAGGTTTTCCGAAGGAAAAAACTGGTTATTAGATTGAGGTATGTCGGCGGGCGGGCGGACGGGCGGGCGGGTGGGCGGGCGGGCGGGCGTAAACAATTTCTTCTGTGCGCAACTCCTCCTACATTTCTCAACGGATTTTGACCAAACTTTCACAGAAGCTTTGTCATCAAGTGCCCTGGCGCATATTGTCGGGGTTTTGCGATTAGATAATATTTGACCTAATTATGGCCCTTTGTTTTTTTTCCTTATATAAAATATATAGTGAACAATTTCTTCTGTGCGCAACTCCTCCTACATTTCTCAACGGATTTTGACCAAACTTTCTCAGAAGCTTTGTCATCAAGTGCCCTGACACATATTGCCAGGGTTTTGCAATTGGTATATATTTGACCTAATTATGGCCCTTTGTTTTTTTTCCTTATATAGAATATATAGTTTCTGTGCGCAACTCCTCCTACATTTCTCAACGGATTTTGACCAAACTTTCACAGAAGCTTTGTCATCAAGTGCCCTGGCGCATATTGTCGGGGTTTTGTGATAAGATAACATTTGACCTAATTATGGCCCTTTGTTTTTTTCCCTTATATAAAATATATAGTGAACAATTTCTTCTGTGCGCAACTCCTCCTACATTTCTCAACGGATTTTGACCAAACTTTCTCAGAAGCTTTGTCATCAAGTGCCCTGACACATATTGCCAGGGTTTTGCAATTGGTATATATTTGACCTAATTATGGCCCTTTGTTTTTTTTCCTTATATAGAATATATAGTTTCTGTGCGCAACTCCTCCTACATTTCTCAACGGATTTTGACCAAACTTTCACAGAAGCTTTGTCATCAAGTGCCCTGGCGCATATTGTCGGGGTTTTGCGATTAGATAATATTTGACCTAATTTTGGCCCTTTGTTTTTTTCCCTTAGATAAAATATATAGTGAACAATTTCTTCTGTGCGCAACTCCTCCTACATTTCTCAACGGATTTTGACCAAACTTTCTCAGAAGCTTTGTCATCAAGTGCCCTGACACATATTGCCAGGGTTTTGCAATTGGTATATATTTGACCTAATTATGGCCCTTTGTTTTTTTTCCTTATATAGAATATATTGTGAACAATTTCTTCTGTGCTCAACTCCTCCTACATTTCTCAACGGATTTTGACCAAACTTTCTTAGAAGCTTTGTTTTCAAGTGCCTGGCACATATTGTCGGGGTTTTGTGATTGGATAATATTTAACCGAATTATGGCCCTTTGTATATTTTTTCCTTATACAGAATATATAGAGAACAATTTCTTCTGTGCTCAACTCCTCCTACATTTCTCAACGGATTTTGACCAAACTTTCTTAGATCTTTGTTTTCAAGTGCCTGGCACATATTGTCGGGGTTTTGTGATTGGATAATATTTGACCGAATTATGGCCCTTTGTATATTTTTTCTTATACAGAATATATAGTGAACAATTTCTACAGTGCGCAACTTCTCCTACATTTCTCAATGGATTTTGACCAAACTTTCACAGAAGCTTTGTCATCAAGTGCCCTGGCGCTCACTAAATTCCCATGTTTCTTCCAAGACATCATTCAAGTATTTTTTTAAAATTGTGAACATACTTTTCTTGATATCGCACAAAACACCACACGCCAATATTGTTGACAAAAGAAAATGACAAGAGACGCAAAAATGCAAAAATTAAGCAAAAATAAAGTACTGTTTACCTTTCTAAAACATTTGGGGAAAAAAGGCGAATAGACAACATAAGATTTCTCAATCATTTTTGTTTGAGGAATATTAAAAAAGCCATAATTCCTCCTAAAAGTTCAATTAAAAACAAATGCCCCTTCATGACAAAGCTTCTGTGAAATATTTTGCTGAAAACCTGGTTGCATCGCATTGCGATGTTCCTTGTTTTAGGGATATAAATTAGGTGTGATTATTTTAGGGATATAAATTAGGTGGGATTATTTTAGGGATATAAATTAGGTGGGATTATTTTAGGGATATAAATTAGTTGGGATTATTTTAGGGATATAAATTAGTTGGGATTATTTTAGGGATATAAATTAGTTGGGATTTTTTTAGGGATATAAATTTGGTGGGATTATTTTAGGGATATAGTCATTATACACTGGGATTATCAAAGGCTTAATAGAGGGAAATCCTGAATTTGTTCATATGCGGAATATTTTATACATGGTGGGAATATTCAGAAGTATCCTATCTTAAGTGTATACAGCATTGCACATTATTCATTAATCTTCAGGAAACTAATTTAGTAAACATCACAAAAGATGGTCATTGTTTGAGTGGTTGTGGTTGCCATAGTGATAAGGCTTCCATTACAAACAGTGTTGGTATATAGTCTGTAGAAACACCGCTTTTTAGTTTGATTTGTCCACATTTGCATTGAACTTTTATTTTGATGATTGTTTAGAAGTATAGCCCCTTACTTGTATCAGTAAGTGTAATGTTTTTATATAACATGATCAGGAGTGTCTTATCCACTGTTTAATGTATGCCACTTCTATATAAACGTTGCTTTAACATTTAGTTTTATTACTTCACAGTAAAATCAATTCAGTTTTACTGTTTTGATAGAGCAATCACTGATGATATTTCACAGTTATTTAAAAAACAATAATTTGGCTAAATAAGTGAAATCACTGTATTCAAAACCCAACAAAGATGTTGACAGGACATTATTGGTGTAATCATACAACCTCCGGCCCTGGATTATCTATGGTCTTCCTCCCTCAGTATTTATAAGGCATCTTTTTATCTGATCCATCATGCAGCCTTTCATAGCCTGATGATTCTCTAAATGGTTTAGAATGATCTTCTTGAATACAAAGTAACAGTTTGTTTGACTACTTCCTACAGATCATGTTATATTAATACACCAATGTTATATTGATTGATGTGTTCTATCTTTGTCAATACAACATTCAGTTAGTTTATTACAACACTCATTACCACATTTATTTTTGTCTATTTCTGTTCAATAGTTATCATTTTAAATCTTATCAGTTTATTGTATAAGAAATATATATTATGGACATATTTCTTTTCTTTTTTGTACACTTATTGTATATGGTCTTTATTTAGAAAAGGTAAAATTATATTTTCAGTTGTATTAAAAAGTATGTGGTTCAAAATTGTCTTCTTTGTATATTACCCTGTTCACTTTTCAATGTAAATTTTAAAGGTATTTATTAAGTAGATTGTTTTAAAAGTTATGATCTGAATTCACCTGGATTACTTTTGGTTGAAAAGTAGCTTCCTGTAATATTATATACAGATGATGGTTGAAAAAGATATGAAATGTTCAGATATAGTAAATCATTAAAATAAATAGTTTCAGTGATGAATATAACAGTTGACTTGTGATAACTGGGACATGTTTTATAGATTATATGATGTAGATATGTTAAAATCTGTTTTAGGATCAGAAAGCTAAAGAAACGGGTGCATCACCTAGTCAGCCGACACCTCCGTCAACAAACAACCCGTTTGTAAGCCCAACAGCGGCCCCTGCTGCACAGACATCACCTGTCAAACCCAGCGATGATTTACTTAATCTTGATGGTATGAATTTAACTACATTAAATGGTATATATTGTAACAACAGAAAACATTTTCTAAGAATATAGAATTAAAGCACATGTACTATGCAACTAGTTCAGTAGAGTGTTTGTTTTCTTAGTAGCTTCTTTATACCTGCAGATTACAGGCTATTATCTAATTGAAGCAGGGAAGTCCTTTAATTACACCAAAAATATAGAAATGCTTGAAATGACAAAAGGGTTGTTTTATAAGTTATGGTATAAACTTGATGAAAATAGTAATAAAATCTATTACAATTATTTTGATTATACAAGATACATTAAAGTTGATATATTATTGAAGAGAATCCATTTGTTGAGAATGTTAAAAGTGTGATGCAGATGAATTCTGGTATGAATGCATTCGGGGCACCAGCCTGGGGACCTCCACCTATGTCTTCAGGTAAGTACATGTATACCTGCTTAGCCAAGAAATTGACAATATAAGTTACTTACTATCCAAGAAAAGGTTATATACATTGTAAAGGATGCAAAATTATATATTGTTGGATATTGATTGAAATGGCAGACATTTTTCTTTAAAGTATCTTCTTGTAATTTTATATCACATACCATAGAATTAGCAAATGAAGAAATTCTTCATGTAATCTGTTTAGTATCCTAGGAAACATATGATATTTGTACTGCAAAGATATTGTTAAAGTTCACTGGTAAATGATAGGAGTAACTTTATGTTTTGATACATCATTTTACTAATTTCAAATAACTTAGAAATATCCGATGTGCAACATTAATACACTGTAATTTGAATTTCTAATTAACACTCAAGATTATAAGGTATAGTTTAAAGAAATTATTTGATGTAATTCTTCAGGAGGCTTTAATGACCAAAACGCATTCGCCCAGTTTCCCAATGGAACTGGAGGTACATCAAGTAAGTAACCAATCAAAATAAAGGGTTATTGGGCACATGACTTGCTTGGGAAGGTCACATGACGTGTGCTAGCTTGTCAAGCATTTTGCTAGTGTTATCACTGTACCACTTCACAATGGTTCAAGGACAATAACACTTTAACTTTGCTTCTTCTAGCTTTGCAATGTTCAGTTGTTGTTTCTACAGCATTACTTTTATTACAGTATTACAAAATAAAATAAATTGCAAGTAGAGATTAATTTTAATTATATATATCAAGTAGGAAGTTTAAAACAAGTTATTATTACCTATAGATATTACATGAATTTGTCTATGACTACACCTTTTTTATTTCATAAATATTTCTTATATCCCTTAATATAAGATAATGTTTAATTATTTTCAAATATTTCTTAACTTTGAATGAACCAGTATAAATTAAGACACTGCCTTAATCGTAAGAAATGGTATAGGTTTCTTGTGTAGTTTTGTAAACAGGCATGTCTACATGTGAAAATAGCATTTGCTTTTGTAGTGCAATAATAAGTCCTGTATAACAAGCAAATAACAATCCTAGTTCTAATATTAGAGTTATAACTTTTATCTTTAATCCATCTAATACATTTTTATACAGCTTTGAATGTGTTGATAAGTTTCTGTATGGCAAATTGATTTCTTTCTGATACTGTTATGGAGACAGTATCAAAGTTAAAATAAAACTCGATATTATAAACAATATAATCCTTCAACTCTATTGTCTATATAAACATATGTATTAATGAAGATAAAAGTTTAGTTTCCATGCCCTACAGAAACTTACAGCTTGAAAGTTTTCTCTTGTTTTGACTAATTTCCAAATTACTTAACATCTAATATGTCTTAATGCAAGCAATGACATTTCAAGGAGATGACATGTTTTTGACCTCCATTATAAAACTAGAATCATTTTATAGAATCAGAATTTCAGAAAATGGTTTATTAGATAGCCAGCAACTTTGTTTCTGAAAAAATATTTGCTCCAGATTAAGTGTCAATACATGACAATTTTTTAAAAAAAATAATGTTGAGTTTAAGTTTACTTTAATGGGAGATTGTAAAAGCCTGTCATATTCTGTGTATGTTATTGGTTGTTATGGTGATAAAGGTATATATATATATATTCATGTTACTAGTGGCTACTCTGGACCTCTCTACTACAACTACGAGTGCTCTACCTTTAAACCCCTCGCCAACAACGGCACCGTCAGGTATGATCCTTTCTCCTCTCTCTATCTTGTTATACTTTACTTGTTTATCTGTGCTCACTGAAAAAAACTCAAAACTATCCCATATTGGACAATTCCAAGGTGTGTAATTTTAATGTCAAATAAATTTATCAGTAGTTCAAAAGAAAAGATATTTTGTTACCATTTGCTTTAGACCATTTATAATAAGTGCATTAAATGAAAAAGAACAAATATATCTTACTCTTAGAAAAAAATTACTTACAAGTAACATTTGGTGTGAAAAATGGCCTATTACTAGTTAGCAAGAGACATTTACATTGAAAGTAATATTTGACTTGTATCTTCAGGGGGACACCTATTATTTCTGTTTATATGCCCTGCTTTTCAGTCTGTTGGCAATTTATTGTCTGCTTTGTACCTTTTGAATGAATTGAAGGAAACAGAATCTACTTGGCAGTAATTTATGCCAGAATAAGACTGTGCTTTTTTGTCCATTCTATATCTCTTTATTAGAAATATTTGGCAATAATGTCATCATTTATTTATACTTGATTGAATCTGTATTCAGACATGTATAGCCCTATTTTTGTGGCGCTCTTGTTTAGAGCATGCAAAGATAAATGAGTGAAAGTCGTAGCATGATCAGAATTTGCCTTTTAATCTTACATTTTACTTTCCCTGAGACATTTCCTATCTAAGAAAATCATTGTCTGTGCTTTATTATAGTCATTCATACAAGAATACAGCCATGTTGGGATAACTAATGTTGGGAGTATAAATATCTAAAATGTTTTTGAATTTTTCTTTGTAGTATACTTTATGAACTGCTTTTACAGTGTGAAAGCTAGAAACGGGAATGAAACCTTATATAAATAACAAAGCAATTGTATTTATTCATTATCCAAAACCCTTTAGATGTAGAACACTTCGTATATGGAGTAAGATGTTGACGTTTTTATTTAATGTTATTGTAATACTTTATTAATGAAGTGTCAGAACCAGTAACCTTTGACCCTTATGGAGCATTGGTTGACATGGCAACCAATGAAGCAGGGGTCACAGCTGAAGGAATGGGTGGAGCTATTTTTGGCTCCTCCCCTGGTAGAGATGATTTTCAGCAAGGTTGTAAAATTATATTGTAAACTTTAGCTAAAGAATGCATGGAAGCTAGATATATTGTGAAAATAAAAACAGTTTTTTGTTTGTTTTTGTTTATATGAAAATAATTGGTGATTTTTCCTTTTGAAAATTAAGGTTTTATAATCTACTTCCAAATTTCTTTGAATATACTGTGTTTGAATATAAGTTTATTATAATCACATAAAGAGCACATAATTATGTCTTTGTTATGTTCTGTTATTTAGATGTTTTTGTAACACACACAAAAACTAAATTTTATTCTGTTTGTTAAAAATTTTATGATTTAGAAGTTGAATATTTTGTTGAAAAAGTTATGTACCTTTCATTTGTATCACAGTTTTTAGCTATGTAAACTTTTATTTTGTTTATATAATATATGGGTTAACTATATGGTGAGAAATAGTTTAGTGCATTTTTTTTATAGAAAGTAACAAAAAATAATTTTGATAAATCATATGTTTTCATCTATCAGATTTTACAGGTAAAATTTAAAATTAAAGTAGATTTCCAAAATATATATCTGTACTCCTGTTTTGTGTATGATTCTTGTTTCCATATTGTTGAGGATTTTTGCCATCTATTCATCTATTGATATTGTAAGGGTATTTTCTTCTACAAATTGTTCACTATACTACATGTGTATTCAGGACTAGGTGGTCAGAGTCCATCAGTACGAAGTATGAGCCCTGCAGTAGATGTGTTTGGTGGAGAATCCCATCCACCCTCTTCCACCGACTTGTTCCCCACCACGGGACCGTTTGCAACCTCTGATACTGACCTCACAGGTTCTAACCGTGTTGTTAGGCTTTCTGTGTCTATAGTTCTTTTCTTTCATTTCTGCTCTTTGTGTTTATTTCCTCATTTCAATTGCTGGTATATCTGTTGGTTCACTGTTTACACTGATCTCAATAATATCATGGCACTGACTTTACATTTGTAAACTGTATCTTTTGATTTCAAATACAGTCTTTTATATTTGATTTTCTTTGTTTCAATTTTCAGTTGTTATGTTTTCATAGTAACTGTACTTAATGTACCTTTTGTTGTTCTGTATATAGATAGAGATGTTGAAAGAGACTTCTTATATGCTTGAAAAAAATGTGGGCATATATCGTCCAGTCTGTATCATTTGAACCGGTCGAAGGAAATCGAAACTACTTAACAGAAATGTTAACCGTAAAGAGACAATATGCAGGGCACAGGTTTGACCTTCCTCCAGTCAAGGTTGTGACCTTAGTCATTTTGTATGAATTTCAAAAATTTTGTTTCTTGCCCTCCGGTATCTTATGAACCAATAGAAAGAAATAAAGGCTTTTTAGTTGAAATATTACTTAGAATGAGACGCTGTGCATAACATACGTTTGTTGTTTTTTTTTTGATAAAAATTGGCCCAGTTTTGGAATTACTTGATTTATATAAACTTATATCGGAAAACACATTTAAGTTTCATTTCACATTTAAGTTTCATTTTGGGATAATGAAGATAAAACATTTTTCAGACAAGTTTCTTGATTTCATCTCTTTGCTAATTGAAAGATTATTTTTGCTTACTCAAACAAACTTATCTATACATTTAGGTGTAAATTGCCCCGACTTTGCGGTGCTCTTGTTTAATTCTCAGTTTCAGTATTGTTAGTAACACAAGCAGTTTATACTTAATGCTTTGATAGAAAATATACTGGTGCTTTATTTATATGAGGTTATGGCTTTCACTGTTTCACATATTCACTGATTATTTTTTAAGATCATCTGGGACCATTGTTCTTTATAAGTTGTTTATAAAGAGTTTTAGTTTTGTAAAATCTTGTTATTTTTTGTGGTTACAACATAAAAAAAAGTTTCAGATACATTTGTTTTCCTTATTACAACTTGCAGTAAAATACACTTTAATTATAGAGAAAAAATGATTACTTGTGCAAGATATGATGAAAATTTCTTGCAAAACATTTTCTGTAATTGTGTTAACTGATGTCTATCATGTTTGTATATTATGGTTTACAGCAGCACACATCCAAATTATTGCTAATTTTCATGAAATTTTGAAAATGTATTCCAAAGTTAAACATTATGAAATAAACAAAGAAAATGATCTACACATTGCAAAGGGCACTAACAACCCATGTAAATTACCAAAACGAGGTGAAAATATACCAAAAAAAGTCTTTACTACGTTAGTATTATAGTAGAAATATGGTGAAAAAACTTCTGTAAAAATTTGTAATCTATCACACATAACATGGAAATTATTATTCTTATCTTGAATCATTTTACAATGAACTTTTTATAAAATCTCAGTACATTTTTCTCAAGTTTGATTTTCTTGAAATAGTTTGGCTCATCTGGAGGGCATGCAGCTTAATGTTTAGGTATATATGTAATGTAATGAACTTATATTTTACAGGTTTTGATGCGTTCGGAGAGATACTACAGCCAGCTAATAAACAACAACAGGCAGACTCTCAACAACAGCAGAACCTTGGGCAGAAAGACCTGGACTCGAGCCTTGCACTCCTGGCAGGAAATATTAGCATCAACGGAGCTCAGTCCGTCAAGTTTGTATATTTAGTAAAAAGTGTTCAATATAAGAAAAAATTAGAATATTAAAAGTACCACTTGGTTCTTTTTATTTCCCCCACGTTAGTGCGCGGCATTTAGATTTACCCTTGTCCGTCCTTCCGTCCGTCCGTCCGTCCGTTCACTTTTGTGTCGCATGTAACTCAAAAAGTATTTGACCTAGAGTCATGAAACTTTACAGGAATGTTGATCAGCATGTGTAGTTGTGCACCTGGGTATTTCGTCTGGATATTATTAGTATTTTTAGAGTTATTGCCCTTGACTTAGTTAAATTTTGCAATTTTCAACTTGTGTCGCATGTAACTCAAAAAGTATTTGACCTAGAGTCATGAAACTTTACAGGAATGTTGATCAGCATGTGTAGTTGTGCACCTGGGTATTTTCGTCTGGATATTCTTAGTATTTTCAGAGTTATTGCCCTTGACTTAGTAAAATTTTGCAATTTTCAACTTGTGTCGCACGTAACTCAAAAAGTATTTGACCTAGAGTTATGAAACTTAACAGGAATGTTGATCAGCATGTGTAGTTGTGCACCTGGGTATTTTCGTCTGGATATTATTAGTATTTTTAGAGTTATTGTCATGAAACTTTACAGGAATGTTGATCAGCATATGTAGTTGTGCACCTGGGTATTTTCGTTTGGAAATTTTTATTATTTTTAGAGTTATTGCCCTTGACTTAGTAAAATTTTGCAATTTTCAACTTGTGTCGCATGTAACTCAAAAAGTATTTGACCTAGAGTCATGAAACTTTACAGGAATGTTGATCAGCATGTGTAGTTGTGCACCTGGGTATTTTCGTCTGGATATTCTTAGTATTTTCAGAGTTATTGCCCTTGACTTAGTAAAATTTTGCAATTTTCAACTTGTGTCGCACGTAACTCAAAAAGTATTTGACCTAGAGTCATGTAACTTTACAGGAATATTGATTAGCATGTGCAGTTGTGCACCAGGTATTTTCGTCTGGATTTATTTAGTATTTTCAGAGTTATTGCCCTTCACTTAGAAAATTTTTGCAATTTTCAACTTGTGTCGCAAGTTTCTCAAAAAGGATTTGACATAGTCATTAAACCTTATAGGCAGGTTGCTCAGCATATTTTAGATTTGCACCTGGGGTTTTGCTTGTGGATTTATCCAGTATGTAGAGTTATTTCCCTTGACCTAGTAAAAAGATTGACAGAACAGTGGCGCGGTGGGGGCACCCGTGTCCTATGGACACATTTCTAGTTATTTCATGGTTTATTAGCTAGAACAGAAAAAGATTTGTTCAGTTTAATGGGGAAAAAAAACAAAAACAAAAAACAATTGAATTTGTGCTTGGCTAATGTTAATTTACCATTAATAACTTGAAGGAATTCTGCTTACTTGAGCACTTACTTTGTCTACTGTTAAAATTACGAAGTAATGATTTACCAAGATTTATTTTGATTCTTGTTATGGCAGCTTATTGATTTAAAAAAATAAAGTTAAAATTGAAATGTTAGGATTTTTCTTGACATAAAATGTTCATCCTTCAACAAATACACATGATTTATGATGTTAGAATTTATGATTTTACAGAGGCCAACATCAATGGCAACCAAAGTCTGACCAGAAGAAGACTGGTGGTAATAACTGGGCTCCTACCCAGATGTCACAAGCTACAACCTGGTCACAACCAACCTATCCACAGACATCGGTAAGTAGTGTTGTAGTAACTGTTTGTATTCTAGGTGCCAGATAATGACTGTCCCCAGTATAGAATAAAACAGTTCCACTGGGTTGCAGCCTAACTACTTGCGTCCTAATTTTGGTTGAGAATTCCCTTTAATTATTAACAAATAGGTCCAAAATCAAATCAAGGCAAGTGCATTACACCAGAGTCCGCAGTAAGAGGTTAATGGATAAATAAGATAAATGTAGACTTGCTTACTTTTTTTTTCTGTCAATAAACAGTTAAGCGTAATAACTCTTGATATATTATACTTGTAAAATTTTATTTGGTACAATAATAGTTACTAAAATCTTTGTCAGGTCGTATGGCCCAGTATTTGTTTATATAGGTTCATATAGACTGTCAAAAGTGTTTATAACAAATTTGAAATATTGTACAATTGATTTCTTTTATTTAAATGCACATTAATTTTACAACTTTGAAGCATCTGTGTATATTGAAAATATAAACATCTCCATTATTAAGCAATGAAAATTAACTTGCAGTCAGTGTTTTTAAAGTGAATAAAGTCAATACATGTAAGTTGGACATATTTTCTCTCCCAAAGTTAACATAACACTTGCATGTATTTCAGATGCCTGGTATGCAGATGGGATATGGTCAACCTGGCATGCAGCCAATGATGGTAACTATGCTCTTTTTAGTATTTTTGTGTCCTCAATAAAAATTTAATAGAGTATAATTAAAGTTATGGTTTGTCCTTAGGGTCTGCTATACCATCACACAGTTTCTTATAGCACTTTTATTGATATCTTTAATGTGTTAATACCTTACATGCACCTACCATGGGTGAGCATTTCAGGGTGGTCAGGTCAATGTACAAGATGTATAATTTACAATGCTCCAAATAACAATTAAAATCTTAACATTATTAATTTTTAGTATATTCTTGACTTTACAGAAAATTGCCATCTTGTTTGAAAAATATTAACAATTTTAAGTAGAAGGCTAGGGTTACTTATAGACATATAATTGGATGAAACTTTATGATACAACTGCATATTTTTAACTTAAAGAAAGCGGTTTTGGAGTGGCATTTAACACTGTATGATAAGTTGCTTTAAAATATCTTATCAATACCTAGTTGCACATTTTTCATCAAGTTGTCAAGGACAAAAATTAGGGTATAAAAAGCCAATTATCACTGAAGAAAGTTTACCCCTCATCATTGTTAATGTATGTCAATGTTGTTATTATCCCCCGCCGATGGAATCGGGAGGGGGATATAGTTTTGGCGTTGTCCGTCCGTCCATCCATCCGTCCGAATTTCATTTCCGGAGTAGTTCTCTGCAACTACTGGCTGGAATTCAACAAAACTTTATGGGAATCATCAATATCAAGAGGAGATGCGCATATCGTCCGCTTGTTCCGGTCCGACCCTTTTACTCAGAGTTATGGCCCTTGATTAGTCATGTAGTATGCATATAGAGTAAAAATCGTTTCCGGAGTAGTTCTCTGCAACTACTGGCTGGAATTCAACGAAACTTTATGGGAATCATTAGTATCTAGAGGAGATGCGCATATCGTCGGCTTGTTCCGGTCCGACCCTTTTACTCAGAGTTATGGCCCTTGATTAGTTATGCAGTATGCATATGGAGTAAAATTCGTTTCCGCACTACTTCTCTGCAACTACTGGCTGGAATTCAATGAAACTTTATGGGAATCATCAATACCAAGAGGTGATGTGCATATCATCGGCTTGTTCCGGTCAGACACTTTAAGTCAGAGTTATGGCCCTTGATTAGTTATGCAGTATGCATATGGAGTAAAAATCGTTTCCGCGCTACTTCTCTGCAACTACTGGCTGGAATTCAACGAAACTTTATGGGAACCTTCAATACCAAGAGGTGATGTGCATATCATCGGCTTGTTCAGGTCAGACACTTTAACTCAGAGTTATGGCCCTTGATTAGTTATGCAATATGCATATGGAGTAAAAATCGTTTCCGGAGTCGTTCTCTGCAACTACTGGCTGGAATTCAACGAAACTTTATGGGAATCATCAATATCAACAGGAGATGCGCATATCGTCGGCTTGTTCCGGTCAGACCCTTTAACTCAGAGTTATGGCCCTTGATTAGTTATGTAGTATGAATATAGAGTAAAAATCGTTTCCGCACTACTTCTCTGCAACTACTGGCTGGAATTCAACGAAACTTTATGGGAACCTTCAATACCAAGAGGAGATGAGCATATCGTCGGCTTGTTCCGGTCAGACACTTTAGCTCAGAGTTATGGCCCTTGATTAGTTATGCAGTATCCATATAGAAAAATATTTGTTTCCTCGCTACTTCTCTGCTACTACTGGCTGGAATTCAATGAAACTTTATGGGATACTAAGAGGAAATGTGCATATAGTCACCTTGTTCCGGTCAGATACTTATAACTCAGATTTATGGCCCTTGATTAGTTATGTAGTATGCATACATCTCATTGGCATTTCCAGATTTTACTATTTAACACAAAGTTATGGCTCTGTTATTGCCCTGAATATTTATCAAGTTCAAAGAATATTACTGTTTATGCCATGATTTATATATAAATAAAGCCTTATGTCTTAAGTTGTTGTGTTAATAATAACCAGTACTCGGCGGGGGATATAAATTCAACAAATTTGCTTGTTTTATTCTCATCAGCAAGGGATGGTTGGACAACCTATGATGGGTCAGATGGCCCCAATGACAGGCATGCCCATGACAGGTATGCCCCAGATGGGTATGGCACAACCTATGTATGGAGGTATAAGACCAGGGATGGCACCAATGGGCATGTCCCAACCAAGACCACCTGTATCCCAAAGTCAACCAAATGATCCATTCGGGGCATTGTGAGACTGTTGTACATGAATGAGTGATATGTATGAAATATAATGGTGAGTTGTCTTTATTTATGTTTTCAGCCTTCTTTCATCGGGTTATTAAATATTATTGTAATTTTGAAATTTCTCACAGTAGTTTTATGATTTTGATGACAACATAATGAACTGAGCTGTTAAATTAATATGGGTCATTGAATCTTATATACATTTTGAAAGTTTCAAAATGAGGCAAAATATTCTGTAAGATTAGTCTAAGTGTCCTCGCATCTTGCACCAGATTTCAAAGTCTTATTACATATGTGTCAATTAGATTTTTTTAACCAGCTTGCTTGTTCTGCTCAGATGCCTGCAGTTGTATGAAATGATGCACAAAAAACAGCATTTTACACTGTCAGTAAAACTGGAACATTCCTGTATGACCTTTAAAAACAAGTTTCATGTGACCTCATTTGTTTGGTCAATAATAACAAAATATTTAAAATGTTCTTTAATAATCAAGGACAAAATTAGTCTCCAGCACTGGTTTATTATATTTAATAACCTATACAAAGTATGCTATTCCAGTAAAATATTTCTTAACACTGTCAACATTTTGCTCTGACAATTTTTTTTAAGAAATGGCATATTGTCATAGTTACACATACTAACATACATGTGACTAGTTAACTGATAACAACTTTTTTTTTGTCTATTTATAAATTTTAGTATTGTATTTCAGAATTAATATGCTGGCATAATTCCAAGTGAGCTCAGGATTGTAAACGAGAGATTTTTCATCGTCAACATGTATATTAATATATGGGGGCGGAGAAACACTAGCTTGTTGAGATGTCAGTTACAGCAATAATTGTGATGTGTGAGAAGCCGCAGAATCTCGTGATCTGTGTGAAATATATGTGTGATAATTCTACAATGTTAATATATACACTTCTGTACAGTTTTATGAATCAATTAAACCATTTTATAGACTGATTTATGGTAATACCAACATTTGAGTAAATTTTATGATATTAAAGTTGATGAAATTGAATATTAGCAACTCGGCAACATCCAGAAGATAAGAAATGAAGAATATATATAACAAGAAAAGATATTGTTTGCATATAGAAATAATGTTGTATCAATTTAAGGTTTTAAAAATTCCTCTGTGTATTTGATGAAAAAGTGTGTGTAAAATTTCAAACATATGCAAATTATATGTATATGGTCATTCTTGTTCACAGAGTATTTTACATTCCATTTGTAGCTAGCTTTAATTAATGTGATTCTTTTTGTTTCGGTATTTTCACCATTATTCAGGTTTCTAAAACATACTCTTTCAAATCATATATGAAAATAATGGGAGCCACATGGTTTATGCAATTTTAGATTCAGAATTCAGTTTATATATATATACATGTAGATAAAAACATACACAGTTCCGTATATAATATAGGATGAAAAGATGATACTTCTGTATTAACTAGCAGACAGTTTGAAAGATACGTTTGATTTGACTGATAATCAACTGGGATTTTGGTATTTTGTGCTATTAATACTTTGTTTTAATTCATAGTTTTCAAACATACTTGTGACTACTGACTATAAATGATAGATTAAACATTTTATTCTTGTTAGATTTACTATTGTGTGAAATTTGGGATTTTCAGCTAAACATAGAAATTGAGGGAAGCATTATTTAGTCTAGATTTACAATGCTTAGTGTCAGGACTGATCAACTCTGCATTTCAAAGTTTCCATCATTTTATGATTTATTTATACAAGTCATATGTTTTCATACATGAAACTGTTCTACGGTATTAATAAGTGCTAGAAAAGCATTCTTATGGAATACTATAAGTTTGATTAGATTGTAGAATATATTCATAAAATATATAATGAAATGTTATAACTATATGTAAATAAAATTAAGTATTGAAATAGTTCTTATTGAGTCTATTGTATGAATGTGTTCTTCTGTAGTATACAGTTTTCAAAATTTAGGTGGGTAAATGTTGACATTTTTTGAAGTGGTTGGTGTGTAGTTTATACTGTGTTTAGTATGTACATGTCTGTAGCTATATACATGTACAATTATCTAGTGCAATCAGAAATGGCAGTTTGATAAACAGTGTAAGCAGGATCACTAGCTGAATGTGTGGGAATGAGACAGGACATGCTGAACAGTAAATGGGTAGGAGATGGACAGTCGTGTCTCTGTAATTGAATGGGCATGTCTTTGTAATTGGATGGGAGGGGGTGTGTTTCTTATTAGCTGGGTGGGGAATGGGCGTTTCTTCATTATATTTATATCATATCTTATAACTTAGAAACATTATTGTGATATTAATGTGTTTTTTTATTACTCTTCTACATACTTATGTATCAAGTGTTTCTTTCAAGACGTAACAATCATGAAATACACAAAAAGCAAGTTATTATTCATCAATTATTTGCAAGAATTCAATTATTGTAATTATTTATATTCATGTGAATGTTTTATAAAGAAGCTTGAACTTAAAAGTAAAATGGAGAAACAAATACATGTATTAATGTGACAAATTCTGTATAATGAATATTGTATATGACTTGATTATTTTATACTGGACACTTTGATTTGACTTTCATGTATAGGTTATATGCATGTTAATTTAGGAGCAAGATCTTGTGACAACATTCTTTTACATAAAGAAGTTAATTTTCCTCTAAATTTTAGACTGTTGCATATACTATCTGTTGAATAAACTTTAAGTTGGTTATTTGTGTGGAGATACATAAATAGATTTTCTGCAGCATATTGTAACAACCTTGAATTGTGATTTTATAAAGCTTAACCTGCTGGCAGCAACAGATTCTACCCATGCAACCAATGCAGACCAAGCTCAACCATGGTCTATAGGCTGCACTATTGATAGTCAGTCAGTACTTATTTTGAAATTTTCCTTAAAAATAATAAATGGTTTTGCCCAGATAGAAAGACAGACAATCTCAGATATGATGTTTAGCATGATAGGTTAAAGATATTATTGTGACAGGGTTAGAATTATAAAACTGAACTGTTCAGCCTTAAACATGGTGAAACAAGCAGACAAATAGGAACTAATATATATGCAAGTTATGTATTAGAATGTTTATTTATACTGTTCTAATTTATTACTAGGTGTGTATACTGTAGTTATAATCATTGGGTAAGAAATCATGCACACTGTTCTTTACAATCCTCATTGAGATTTTCAACCATTATAATATGAGCCGCGTCATGACAAAACCAACATAGTGCGTTTGCAACCAGCATGGATCCAGACCAGCCTGTGCATCCGCGCAGTCTGATCAGGATCCATGCTGTTCGCTATCAGTCTCTCCACTTTTAATAGAATTGGTAAGCGAACAGCATGGAACCTGATCAGACTGCGCGGATGCACAGGCTGATCTGGATCCATGCTGGTCGCAAACCCATTATGTTGGTTTTGTCATGACACGGCTCAATTATAGTTTATACATTGTATTTATGTGTAAATGTTTTTACAATTTGTTCATACAGTGACCAAATGTCTTTTATTTCATTTGTCTTTTTTTTTGTATTTTACTGTGATGTCCATTTAATGTGCATCCAATATTTTGTTAGCTTCTTCAAATTAACTATGTAAATATGCATCTATTCTATACACATATACTGTATATATTATAAGTTAATGTATACACTGGTTACCTATATCCCTGTCTGTTATTCTACTTTGTATCAGTATAAGAAAACAGATTATATTGTTTGAATACAAGACTAACATTACAACTACATTTTGTGCTATATAACATGTGCTTTGTAACACCAGGTTATATGTGGCACTCTGACATGATCATATAACATTACTGAATCATATCTGAAAATAAAACTAATGTAAGATACATAAAGAAAAAATTCTTTATTAAAATATACACATGCTACTGTTTAATTTCATTTATAATTTTTAGCAACTCTAACCTAGCTGCTTAGGTTATATAATTCTTACCCCCAGCAACAGGGGTTATATAACTTACAACAGCAACAGAGGTTATATAACTTTACTTACCCCCCAGCAACAGGGGTTATATAACTTACCCAGCAGCAGGGTTAATATACAAGACCATACCACTCGTCAAAAGTCTTAGTAAATAATTTATAATATTGTACAATTGCTCTTTGATGAATGAAATGAATATTTATTCATAAATTTGTGGAAACTGTTTGTATAAATAATGTAAAAGTCGAGATTGATTAATGGAAACTGTTGTTACATTTGTGCAGTATTATAAGTTGTTTACTTATATCTATTTAAATTTAAATAAGTGCTTGAAAAAATTAGTTTGATTTTGTTTATTGTATGTTCTTATCTACAATGGAACATATTGCTGGCGTCATATAACTGAACCAGCAGCTTGGGTAATAAAAATTAAAAGCACCAACAGGTGTTGTATAACATACCCAACAAAAAACATCATGGGTTATATAACTTACCCCCTCAGTAACAGGATTATATAACTGACCTAGCAGCTAGGATTATATCACCCCACAACAGTTTATATAAGACAGTAGATTCATAGAAAGTCTTAATTAATAATTTGTAATACTGTACAATTGCTCTTTGATGAATGAAATGAATGTTTATTCATAAATTTGTGGAAACTGTGTGTATAAATAATGTAAAAGTCAAGATTGATTAATGGAAACTGTTGTTACATTTGTGCAGTATTATAAACTGTTGATATATCTATTTAAACAAGTGCTTGAAAAAAAAAATTTGTTATTCTATTCTGTTTATTGTATGGTCTTATCTACAATGACACATTATTTAATACACATATTAATTTATATACAATATCAAAAGCAACCAGGTTGAATACACGAGAAAGGAGAGAATTTTTGTTTTTAATATTTGTTTCTAAATCATGCACTGTTTTAATATAACTAAGCTATACTATATTATAGTGATTTGCTAATCTGGCACACCTAAGCATTATGATGAGACTTCTTTTGACTGTTAACTTGAACATACTGATAATGATACATGTAGCATTAAACAAATGGACAATTCAAAATTGAGAGCAAGAAAATTGTATTACAAAAACTTATATAGGTAAAAGTTAATTTAATTATATTCTAACTTCTTGCTTTTACATGAAAGGAGAAGTTTATTAGTGAAGCACTTGCTAGGTTTTGTGCACATGGAATGCTAGTCATCACGGACTGTGTTAATGTATTTCTACATATAGAAGTCTTAGTGCCATACTCTGATAAAATATTTGATGGTATTGAATCTACTACAAGTATTGTTGAAATATACTAGTACAGCATTTTTCTTTGCCCTATTAGTTCATTGTTAAAGCATATACATTTATTGCAGCTTTGTGACTATGACCATACTTATTATTTTAATAGGTGGGAAAAAAACAATCTTTAATCATATTGAATGCTGATAATAAAATTAAGTTTTAATTGCATGCTTGTAATGAAATTAGTTTTAAAACTGTTACACATAGAAGTTTATTTTTCTTTTGCAATTTCATACATCCTCCAAGGCTACAAAATTGATCAGTATTTTCACATGATGAAATGGGAGGCAACTCTTTTTCCATTCTTGAAATACAAAGGGAGGCCACTGTAGGTAATATCAGGGGAGACAACTATAATACAGTTTGTAGCATTATTGTTAACAGTAGTTTTTGTTGTTATTACCGAGCATAAATCATTGGTTCATTTTTTCTGTGACAGTACATTATGTTAATGTTATTGTAATTGTTATTAGCGCTATAATCATGTCACAAAATGTTGTGTATCATAGACAATGAATAAAATATCAAAAAGTACCAAGTTTTTTGTTATATATTATAGTAGTATATGTATTATTTTGTGGGGCATGTGAAGAAATTACTTTATGTAATTATTACAATTAAATGTATAAAATGTTATTTTACAAACTGAAATTGTTTCAACTACTTTCTTAAAATGTTGTGAAACATTTAAGACATTGCATTATAAAATAGATACATCATTGCAGGGGTGTCCGTGGCGAAGTAGTTTAGATTGTTGACTTCAAACCACTTGCCCCTCAAGCTGTAGGTTTGAATCCTGACCGGGACATTGGATTCTTTCATATGAATAAGCTATCCAGCTAGCTTATGGATCGTAGTTGGTTCTACTCCGGTGCCCGTTCGAGCCTGAAATAATGCATGGAAGGTCACCTGAGGTCGTCCTCCACCAGTAAAGCTGGAAAGTCACCACATGACCTTTACTGTGTCGGTGTGGGGTGGGGGAAAACCAAATCAAACAAACAAAAATTGTATGCTTAATTCTATCACATTTAGAGAATACTTGGTTTAGATCACAAGTAGTTAAAAGAATGGTTAAAGAAATATTTGTGTCTTAGCAATGCAATCTCGTGCTTGTGTAATAATGTTTACGTTGTACAAATTGCTATACAACACTTACAATATATCAATTGAGGACAGAGAAGGATTAAGAGAAACCACACATCACCATAATATATTCAAGTCAACTAGTTTTGAAAGGGTTGTAGTGTCCAAGTTTAAAGACAATCTATTATGAAATACATAATAATGGTCAGTGTGAAAGTATCTGTGCAACAATAGCTTGAAATTCTCCTTTGAAAATTTGATTTGGCATACTGAGATTTGTCTGAGAATATTAGAGTGTTTAATAATGTTCCTATACTCTTTTAACACTGTCTTAATAGAAACATGCCTTTGTTTTTAGTCAAAGATCGGGGTTCCTTTACTGGATCCAGCTTTGGAGGCATTCATCAATTTCCCCAAGACAATTATTGTTTAGTAGGTTCTTTTTATGTTAGTAATGCATACACCAAGGAAATAATTCATTTGACGTTTCAAATTTAATCAATAAACTGACATGTATACCTTTTTCACAAAATCATTACGGTGGTCAGATTTACCAGTAAATGTATTGTGTCTGAGCTAACTATTACACCATGTACAACTCTTGTTGAGTGACAAGCAATTTTCAATTTCAATACCTTTTGAGAATTTCAATAAAAGAAGGAATCACCAACTGTCCAACTGTTCTTCAAATGTCAAATAAATTAAAAATTGGTGAAACCTCAATGGTGACTACTTTTTTATAAATTATAAGCACAACTTTATAATAAAAGACAATGAGCGTTTTCTCATAAACAATGTCAACAACTTAATTACACTGTTTTAAATTAAAGTCTGCAATAACAATTGTTCCTATTTAAAGCCTGCATCAAGAAGGTTTTGGTTTCTCAAGTTCATCATGATCATATTTCCACTGTAAAAGCTTATCATTATCTGAGGCAGATGTTATTTCTATAATTTTAATTTTATCATAATATTTCAATAAGTTCATGGTTTCTTGCACATTCAAGTGATATTCTTTAGAAATACACTGTGCCTGATGCAGTAATGGATCTTTAACAGCTGAGTCACCTCTGTCAAGTATAACTCCAATTTGTCGAATGGAAACTTTTCCCTTTGGAATCTTTTTTGGTTCTTCAAAGGCTAATAGGGGATCTAAAACAGATTCTCGGCTTTGTGGTAGAGGACGGTCTGTTGATTGAATCTGAAAAAAGAAGAAGATTCAAACCTATACAAAACAACTCCTGAAATAACCTTAGTAAATCATTGTATAGATGATGACAAGTTTTAGCTCATCTCAATGCATTATGACCAATGAAAACTCTTCTTATATTCAGTTCTTCACTGTAAATTTTACAGAAAGTGAAATTGATTTTTTATATGAGTCTTTTGCCAGTAAAAAAACATTAAAGGGACTCCACTGAGGTTTTTTGACATGACGGGACTGGAAATAATTTTTTGAGATTATTACTCCATTTGATGTAGATCTATACTAATAACTTATGTGCAAAATTTCAGATCATTAGCTTGCTCCGTTTTTCTAGAATAATTATTATAATAGTGAAAAATGACCCCAAATTGAAAAGCGTTTAAACGCTTTTCACTCAAATCAGACTGAGAATAGCACAAACATATGATTTTCAATGTATTTCTTCTATATTTCTTGGTTATTTTGTATTAATATCTGCTTTAAGTACTCATGTTTTTATTTATGTGAAAAATTAAAATTTTATGTTTTTAGGCTTAGAAACCTCAGTGGAGTTCATTTAATTTGGAATTTAAAGGAATTCCATCAAGAAATAAAGAAATTGAAGTTTTGAGTAAATCCTTTAAGAAATGAAGAAATTTCTAGAAAAAAAAATCTTAGCCCAAGGGGGGACATAATTCTGGAAATGGACAAGCTAGAGTATTGAATCTTCTCACACATTATTTGACTGAAAATAAGGAACATAATTATATATAAAGTTTAAAGTAGTTGATGATCAGAAACATATATTTCAAGTCTGAAGTATACCTTAAATAAATAAGTTACAGTGAAAAGATTTTACTAGGTAAAAAACTTTAATCCGAAATCTGGGTGCGGTCACCAGTGCTTGGTGAGGACAGCTCTCCCTAAAGTCGAGCTTAAAATGATGTGCATAATCTCCATACTGCCATCTATCCATATCTCGAGTTTCAGTACTTTTTGAGTTATCACAAATATTGTTATTTTGGCTATTTTAAGTCTATTTGTTGCCATAGCAACTAAATTTTTCAATATAGGAAGAAAAGAAAATTATGCGCATAATCTCAATACTGCCATCTACCATATTTCAAGTTTCATAAAAATATTTTCAGTATTTTTTTGTGTTATCATGGAATCCAGTTTTTGTATTAAATTTGCCATGTTTTAAATCTATTTGTTGTCACAGTAACCAAAGTTTCTAACATAGGAAGAAGAAAAAAATATGTGCATAATCTTGAGGTTGCCATTTACCCATATTTCAAGTTTGGAAAAAATATTTTCAGTATTTTTTAGCGTTATCCAGATTTGTGGACAGATGTATGGACAGATGGAGGGTAAACCTAAAGTCGATGGTGTCAGGGTTAGAATTTAGCAATATTTTCTACTTGCAAATTTTTGCAAGTAATCAAATGTTTAACTGGTAATATGTGGTAGTCAACTGGCATTTCTATGATTGCATATCTTTTATTATTATTGTAAACATTGTCAATGTATTTTGAACATATGGTATGACAAATGATATTAAGTTTGAATGTCAGAAACATCTTAATCACTAATAAACACAGATCTCTTCTTGTAACGAAACAAAAACATATAAACACATTAATTTATACATGATAAACAATTGTTTAGGCATCAGGAATAGATATACCAGAGGAACACCCACCGGTGACAATGTACAGTTATAAACTTGTTCATGTAATCAATTTCTTGGGACCTTTATTTATTTTAGCATATTTTAAAATTAATTACACCAACAGCCTGAACACTCAGAGGTACTGATCTACTTAAATATTTCAGCTTAACAGTAAACACTTTACATTGGGTGCTACACATTAAAATTGGACACTGATGAAACAATATGGATGCATTAACCAATAGTGTTTGTCTATTACAAATAGTCCATCTAAATATATTCAAAGGAAATATAAATAGAGCAACCAAGAATTGATTTTTTAGTTTTTAAGGTAAACATCATCAGTTACTGCATCTGGCATAGTAAACATCATAAGTTTCTGCTGCAGCAGACAGTTGCCAAGCATCATCATCAGCTCAGAAGATATCAATTATGTAAACGTCCGAAATGAACAATCACTTGCAAATCAATGCCAGCTAGAGAAATTTTAGCTGTCAGTATTAGATTTTTTCACTGGCATTTTGCCAGTATGAAAGCTTAAATTCTAACTCTGCCATCCAGTTAAACTGGTAGGGGACTAATAAATAGATGTAGACTTATTGTTACACTATACCTGTATTTTTCCAACAGAATCAAGATGTAATGTATTAACGCGGTCAACCAACGAAGTGTCATGTTTCTCTAATTCTTCTTGTATTTCTGGATGATCTGTAATGGAATAAAATTAAGAAAAATATTGGAAGCTTGGGAACTCCTTAACATTTCTAGCCAACAATTAAACCATTTTTACCTTAAAAGAAAATCTTAAAAAAACAAGAGTTGATAAGCAAGTGGCGAATGCCCCCGAAAAGGTTTCTTTAGCATGCAGGTATTATGAACAGAAAGAGAATGAAAGTAACTAATTGCTTAATATGGTTCTTGTGAATGAAGTGCTATTTATAGCAAACTTAACACCTTGGGACAAGGGTCTTGGATGTGACACAACATCTTGATGTGGTAGAAATTTATGCCAAGTTATTTTAAAGTCCTTCAATGCATGACAATATTACAGTTTGGAAACTAATGTTATCTTCAAACTCTTCTTATGAGCATACATGTAAGTACCTCCAAACTATTAGAGTGACCTTGACCTTGGAGGTAGGAGATCTTACACACAACATTGATGTGGTTGACATTTGTGCCAAGTTATTTTAAAATCCTTTGATGCGTGACAAAGTTACAGTCCGGACACCCATGTATGTACATATAATCTCTAATTGTGATAGCCTGAACCTTTAGAATGTAAGTGTGACCTTGACCTTTGAAAAGGGACGTGGTTCTTGGACACAACACAACATTGTCATATGATAGACATTTGTGTATAGTTATTTCAGAATCCCCCAGTGCAGGACAAAGTTACAGTCTGGGCATGATTGTTGTGTAAGTGGGGACGGACAGATGGACATGAGCCTTAGCCATGACACATCGTCTTGATGTGGTAGACATTTGTGCCAAGTTATTTTAAAATCCTTCCATGCATGACAAAGTTACAGTCCAGACATGAATGTGTATCTTCAAACTCTTCTCGAGAGAATGAGTACCTTCAACCTATAAGCGTGACCTTGACCTTGAAGGTAGGGACAGGGGTCTTGAACGTGACATGTCATCTTAATGTGGTTGACATTTATGCATAGTTATTTTAAAATTTTTCAATGCATGACAAAGTTACAGTCCAGACACCAATGTGTGTATCTATAAACTCTAATTGTGATAAGTGAGCTTCAAAAAGGTAATATGACCTTGACCTTTGAGGTAGGTACGTGATTCTTGAATGCAACACATCGTCTTGATATGGTTGACATTCATGCCAAGTTATTCTAAAATCCTTCGATGCATGACAAAGTTACAGTCCAGACACAAATGTGTGTAACTATGAACACTTTTTGTGATAAAATCCTTTGATGCATGTCAAAGTTACAGCCCGGACACTATTGTGTGTACCTTTTAACTCTGTGATAAAGTGAACTTCAAAATGGTAGTGTGACCTTGACCTTTGAGGTAGGGACGTAATTCTTGGACGCAACACATCGTCTTGATGTGGTAGACATTTATGCCTAGTTATTTTGAAATCCTTCCATGTAGTACTACATCCATGCATGACAAAGTTGGACATGAATGACAGTCTGGACATGAATGAGTGTACCTATTAGTGATGGAAATCGGATGGTATTTGTCCCAATCGATCATCGGTTCAATCGGATGGGACATAATCGATAACATTTCGAATAAAGTCGCGTTAAAAAGAAATAGGGAAGAAACAATTCTTCCCAAGGCACTTTATTATATTCAGTTACATGAACTTCATATAGCTCTTTTCAACACAGTTTTAAACTTATATAGTCATAATTTTACGAAAAAGCTTTTATTTTCCAATGGATGTCAAATAATAACATTGACATCACATTGTATAACTATTGTTTACATCACGTATTGGTCCTGTTCAACTCCAAATTGTCTCTGAGATATTTTCTTTGCGATCGGTAAGGTGTTCCTAAAAGGAAATTACCGTCAGAATTAATTCCCTTTGATACTTTAAACATTTTCGACGACGTCGCGGAACAAATTTTTGTGAATCGATTATTGTCGCTTTACATAACAGTAACTGATTATCGACGACATGCGACAATCGGAACATCACTAGTACCTATTAACTCTATTTGTGATAATGTGAAACTTCAAAATGTAAGTCAGCGTGACCTTGACCTTCGAGATAGGGACGTGGCACTTGGACGAGATACATCGTCTTGATTTGGTAGACATTTGTGCCATGCTTTTTCAAAATCCCTCAATGTATGACAAAGTTACAGTCCGAACATGAATGAAGTGGGGACGCACAGAAAGACGGTGCAATTTTAATATGTTTCCCTTCGGGAGCATAAAAATCACACTGTACAGTCAAACCTGTGAATAAATGTCATATAAATAAGAGACCATAAAATTAATGACCTTAATAGACAAGTGGTCTTTATGTAAAGTTTACTCTGTTGTATTTTCATCAATGTAGTTTTCTTTATTTGCAGGATGATTTTTATATGTAGATGGTCTTTAACAAGGGTATGACTGTACAAACTGTCAACTTTAACATCATATCTGTTAAAAAACATTTAAAATATGTAAACCCCCAAAAGCAACAGTAATAATATTACACCACAAACATTTTTTAAATTCACCAATGGACGCTGCAAAAACTATATTTTTTCTTTCCTCTGGCGTAATATTTATATGGCTTGACTTTAGAATATGTCTGCAGCTATTTTTACTTTAGAATATGTCTGCAGCTATTTTTCACATTTTACTCAGAATTATTTCTTCAAATATTTATCAGTTAATGATTTTATAAAAAATAACTTAAGATACTTGGTAGTTTAATGGGTTAGGCTTATAAAACATGTTTTTTTTTTGTGGCGGATATATTCTAAAAAAGCTGCATTTATATAACAGAAGCAACAATTCGAAGCGAAATAAAACCTGCAACTTGTTTTTCTATGCTTTCTTTGGTCGTGGGGTGCAACGGTGCTCGAACCGGCTTTACTTTATGTTTTTCTACAACTTTTTGAGCCCTTTCTTCCACATTTATATTCTTGATTGGCCTAACAACTTTTCGTACAACTGCTTTGGAAGTATTACCGCCCATCGTCAATGTTTAGTTAAAAAGTGTTACGAAAGAGCCTTTATTAAACTGTTAAACACTTTTATTTTTGAAGGTTATGTCACAGTCCATTTTCATTATCTTGTATGAAGTGACGCAACGATTAATGCAAAGGTAATCCAAATGTATACCATGGTTTTTATCTGGTATCCGGTATTTGTAGGTTAAGTACCACTAAGTCAGGAAACGCAGTCAACTACGGTGTCCCAAAGTCAATCTGGCTCCAAAACGGTCAATCCGGCCCCAAAATCAGTAAATCCGGCCAGCATGACTTCTGGTTTGTCAATCCGGCCCTAAAATTAATAAATTAGACCCCAAAAAGGTTTTGTTTCCAGACTTTTATACTTCACAACAGCAGGTGTCAAGTTTTTTTTAAATAAATATATATAATTAATGTCATTTTATATTTTTGAATATATAATCATAGCAATTAACTGGTATTTGTCGGTAAATTCAATTGCACCAGCTAAGGCTTTAATACGCAACATTCAATGGCTGATTGTCTGTCTGACTGACGGACTGAGCATCAGTAATTATGTGTTACAAATTCATTTATTCAACCATGATAAACTAACATTTAATAGAGCAATCAACTAACAAAGAATATCAACTATTTCACAATAGACACAGCTTACATCTCTGCCTTCATGTCTTTATTTGATGTGAATCTCTTGTTTTTCGTTAATGTAAATTCGAAAATACTATTTTCCTTAAAGTATATAAGTAATGCTTTAACTTATATCTGCTTTAACTTTATAGTCATAAAATAATATATATATTTTATGACTTATTTTGTGCTTTGTCTTGTTTCATGATGTTGTATGTACCGCTCAAAGAGCTTCTAAAAATGAAGAAAATGCGTCTAAATAATGGGACCCGGTTGACCAAAGATCAGATTAACTTGCGACCCGACTGACCAATATTTTGGGCTGGATTAACTTGAGGTCGGGTTTACTTTGAGCGGGATTGACTTGCTAAGTCAACAATTCTCCATTCTCATTGTAATCAGATAAACAGCATTAATCGTTTTGTTTTGAAGAAAGAATTGGAACATGACAAGATACTCATAATTGTTCTTAAAAGAAACAATTAAATTGTATCAGATATTTTAATGAACATATATATCTAGCATAATTAAAAATGTAAATTCTCAAAATATCCTACTAGAGAGTCAAAATTACTTAATTCAGTCAAACCACCAGTCAGTCCCACCTGCTTTTTACAACTAGCGATCTAACAAGACAACTTAATGCAGTTGGCCAAGTTGACATGGCAATTTTGTACTATCCAAAGATATTTGACAACATCTCAAAAGCAAAAAAGTCTATTATAATAACTGAGTCAAGAAAGGCTTCCTTTTTATTTCTGATTTGACTGAGGAAAAAGGTCAAGTCTTTGATGTCAACTTTATTAGAAACTATCTTCATGTAAATATATTTTTTAGGTTATCATGGTCTTATAAACTGTTTAACTAATTTCAGAATAAAATTAAAAATTGATCAAGGTTCAAGTAATCTAATATAACCTTTTTGTCCATTTTATGATTTCTCATAGAATTTTAGCAAAAAACATTTTCTCGAATAAAATTGGCATCAAGAATGATAAAAAAGGCAGCTTTTGCAATTCGGCTGATGAAACGTTTGTGCATCTGTTTTACGAATGGTGAACATACAATGTAATTCTGGCAGACAGACTTTAAAAGAGTTCATTTTCTGTTTTTTGTTTTTCAAAAGGTATGGGTAGCTATCACTTTTGCGGCGTGTTGTTTTGTCTTGTGTTTTCTGTTGGTCTATGGCTTTACAATGAATAATGCAACTTAACCTATATGGAACACTTTTTTGTATCACCTAAAGAGATAAAGGATAGCAATTTTGTGTTAGAATAAATTATATAATTATTTCTTTTTATTAATGTTACTTTGCTATTTTGACTTTAAACTAAACCATATGAATATTCTTTTTCAGGGAAGTAGTTGCAAAATTTAAAATTGTTAAGATAGTCTTTGATGCAAGCAATTTGTTATATATGTGGGGAAAAAAATAATGCCAGTGTTTTGTTGTTTTGTTTTTTAATCATATATCAACAGTGAAGGGCGGCATTCAATGAACGGTGCCCAGCAACCATATGCTTATAGTATATACCGATTGGTGTCATATAATTTAACCTGTAGGTTCATCATGGATAAAAATAGAAAATCTTAAACTATTTTCTTTCTGAACCATCTATAGCATTTTAGATAGTTCTCTGTCAAATTTGCTAAAAATAACATTGGCCCCGTTTGGGAACTGCAAAAGCTAGAAATAGAAATATCTTTTAAACATCTTCTTCTCATGAATTACTATATGGTTTATTACAAATATTAGTTGGAAGCATTCTTAAATGGTCTTCTATCAAGTTTTCTCAACTGAATTTGGTCAGCTTCTAGTAAGACAATTTTAGCTTCAGCTGAAATAAAAATAGCTTTAAGCATTTGCTCATGATCTAAATGAAACATGATCTATACGTGTATTTTTAGTTGTCTTTTTTCAAAATTAATTTGGTCGGCCCCTTATAGGACCACAGAAGTAAAATTTTCAATTTCCATGAGGTAACTGTGGCCAAACGGTTGTTGTTACACTTGACAAAGATATAAACACCTATATTATCACACCCGTTAACATGTAGCGAGCAGGACAGTTTGATGCAGGAAGAACTTACTATATAAATATCAGTTTACAACCGTATTACGAAGATATGTTCTTCTTTTTTTCCTCTTTTTATTTCATGAGATATAATGTGAAGAAATTGATTGCAGGATAAAAAAAGAACTTACATAGCGCACAATTGTTCTAACCACAACCAAATGATATGCTTGCAACCAGTTAACGGGGTGTCTATAATTTAAGCCAATATTCTCAAAATAAAACATTGTTAAAATCATTGCAGGATAGACATTGCAAATACTTTACTTAGATGTTGTTTTTTGTCAGACCAGACAAGTATTAATAATCTAGTTCCATGTAATTGTAAAATAGAATAGAATAAATTTCATTTCCAATCATGGGCTTTGACAGGCATTATAATCACATAATAATGATATTGTACAAGATATACAGAACTAAAAGACATTATATAATAAAAGCTTAATTATAATTAGTGAACAAAATTAGCAAAAGACTTTGTAACAATAAGAAACTAAATCATAGTAAATGACAAAGTGAATAAAAAAAATAATGTAAATACAAGTAATCCAAATGATCCATTATATAAGTTCAACAAGATGTTACATTTTTTAGAAATTCAAGTCTAGATGAAAAACGTTTATAGACAAAGTTTGCTACAGCATTAATTATATCATTATTTCTCACTAAACATCATATACAAACTGTTCTGACATCTTTTTTTTAGAGTTTTAATGTTTGGTACCTTTTCAGATATATGAGAAATTAAGAGAGTTTCTTTCAAAATCATAAAGATAATATCTTAATATAAAGTGTTTTTCTGTTTTAATATCATGTAAAAGACAACATTTGCAAATTCTACCATTGACAGTTATATTTCGATGTCTTCCAGTTTCAATTTCTAGTCTATGTGCAATAATTCGAAATTTAGTAATTAAGAGACGATTTAATAACAGGACCTTTAATAGCATCCAAATAAGGTTCATACACGATTCTTTTTTGTACATGCCTGTCCTGAAATTTTAACTTTTGAAACATTTTTTTGAAGAAAAAAAACGCCTAAAATACAATGTGTGGGATAGTAAGTTGAACACTGGTGAAAATTAAAATTTAGTTGTGTAATGCCATATACTTTATTGCCGGATACCGGATACCAGCTAAAGTACAGTCTTGCTAGACTGACATTAATTTCATGTCAGAAATTATACACCGCTTATCAAAATATCATAGAACCCTCCTTGCGCGACACAAGGTGCGCGTTATACTTGGAAGCCGATAGCGCCTATGGAGACACGAATGTCAAAGATTACAGTTTTATGAATTTGAAGCTTTGGATTTAATTTACCCAATCAGATACATATTTGTTCAGTAAAAAGATAAACCAGTCGTGTTGTGGTAGTTAAAACTTTTTTTAGAAACTGTTGACATCTCATATTTTTAATCTGTCGGGTCTTGTTAGAATGATTAGTGGAGTTGACAAAGTTGAAAGTGCAAATTATTTTAGTTTATAGAGTTATTGACATGAAATGGATGTTGTGGCCAGTAGATATTAAAAGATTTGTTTCAACAGGTTTGATAATTTTATTTTTCAAAGATAAATATTGTTTTTCCATGTTTGATTTGATAAAATTGCCTTCACTCATGTCACTTAGTATCCTTGAGTGATAGAGAATTTAGTATCCTTGAGTGATAGAGAAAAATAATTTGCTAAATTTTACCTTTGAATCTCTTTCCACATACATGTATTTGTACCAAACGATAGAACATAACCTCTGTTTACTAGTGCGTAGCAGGGTAATGACGTAAGTGGTCGCTTATATCATTTACAGCGCAAAACAAAGATGGGATCGAAATTGGGCAGCATAAAAACGGGTCACCCAACGATAGTTAAACGTCTCTGCAGCCAGAGTACCACATGATGTAGACCTCCTGTACCTTGATATTTACTTGACACCCCAAACACTCTCGAAAACTGTTTTTACCCGTAAACACTTGTACATGTTAATATTGCAAAACCCCTCCCCACACACACCCGATTTACTAGTCCTTCATTGAAAGACATTGCATTTCTTTTTTTATACAGTTTTATGTTTATTAGAATATGCAAAGTTTTTCCTTAACTGGCTAATTTCCTAAAGCACAAATCGACAGGCTTCTCGAGTCAATTTGATTTTACTAGTAAATCAAAACTTAAATGTTATAAATATTTATCACAAAAGCAACTAATTGCATAAAAAAATGAAGTGTTTTTTCTCAAACACTGTATAAATATGCAAAAATTACTCACAATAAGTAGTTAAATTATCCATTTATTTAAAAAGACACATGAAAGACATTTTGTGTTGACCCCACATATTGAAAATTTCAGGTTGCTCTGTGACGTCGCTTGTAAAACATAACACAAAATTAGTCTGAACACATTTTTTTCTCTTGTGATCTAAGGCGCTGACAGAAGCACACAGTAAAAATTTTGTCTAAAAAGTTTGGTAATTGTAATCACTGCTATACTCAGTACACACCAATATGGAAGTTGTTTGAAAATTGAATATATGTGTTGTTTTTGAAAAGGAAGATACACATTTGTGATAGGATTATGAATACAAAGCATTATTTGTAACATTTTACATGGGAGTTTGAATGATTGTGCATGTTTATTGTTTTTCATTTTGCCATGGACTTTTTTAAATAGACATTAAAGCCAATTTGAATAATGTAAAAAATAGCTTCAAATCTGCTGTTAACTTCTAAATATTTGGACTACTGATTTACATGATACTTCTATGTACAATACTCATGATACTTAAACCGGTATTTGAGTTGCCAAATGATTACTTATGTTCCATTTTTAATAAATGTACAAATAAAATGTTCAGGGCTCATCAGGAGGGAGTTGGCACAAATTTTCTTTACCAAATCTGTATTTAGTCACAAGTGATCATTGCTTGGTGATGCTGCATTAAGCCAATCGGAGAAGCTGAACATCACTATTGGTCTGACACATACCTATTTATGTGGACAATTTTACTTAACAAGAGTGTTGGGTAAAGTAAACATGTGTGCTATTCTCTCAGTAATGAAGCATCATACTGTCTGTGTTTAACCAAAGTAAAAAACTGTATGCTATGGAGTTTTCACACACCTACGCTATTTTAAGAGCCTTGAAAACTCTATCTCATCTTGATTTTACAAGGAATAATTCAGTAAGGATTGATAGAATTCATAATTATTATTAAATTATAGGTAATAACTAGGATATTTTGATAAGACAACATACACTACGTAGTCACTTCGTTTAAATGGTAAAAAATATCATAAATGTTTACAAATGAAAATCGAAAGGAATATGTTTAAAAGTGTAACCATAGGGCGTTAATAGCAGTACAGTTAAACAATTTTTTTTCTAAAATTCTAGCTAAAATCAACTATTTTGAACATTGTGCATATATTTTGTGATGTCATAAAATTGATGAACCAGGCTCTTAATCCAAGCAACAACAACAAGTAAATTATGTCCAAGTCAAGCAAAATGACTTGTAATTTTATCTGTATGGCCAAAACAAGAAAGATGGGGCGTTTAATTCTCTGGGGCATTTAGTATTTTTAGGTAACAACGAGTACTTTTTACATGGGTAGGCAGTGATTTTCCTACTTATATAACAGACTCCGAAAAAAGGCCTCTTCCCAATTGAAATTTTCTTTAAAATCATGCAGTTTTCCCAAAAATATGAACTTAAACCAGGGTTTTTACTTCCCAAATCAGCAATTTTAGAGAAAATTTTTCCCAAAATCAAGAGGCTAAGGCCTCTTCCCAATTAAGTGAGAAAAATCACTGGTAGGTAATGCCTAGTACATGTAGTGCCCGGGATGAGAATAACGCCAACAACATTAATGTGGAGCACTTGTATCATACCTCATTATGTGTTTAACGAGTGCTCTACGACATTCTTTGAAAGTACACTAAGAATATAGAACAGAAAGTCAGATCAAGAAACTGAAAATCAATTGTTGGGTAGTTGACAATTTCGATGTTAACTTTTCCTGTAAGAACTGATGAACTTTAATTTGTTGCAATTAAATAATAAATCTTGTGCATACTGTTTTTCAAATTCTGATGACATACTTCAGTTCTTACATTTGAATACTGACATTTAGCTTCAGATTTCTTACATCTGGGACATTATAATTATAATGAGGCAACTTACAACTATGGAAGTGATCTCAGGGCTTGAGCAACTGGATGATTTGAAGGAGTAAGTCACCTAAAATTTCGGATATTCACCAAGTAAAATCTTAATTGGTGTTACACAGTTACTGCTGCTAATTTACTCATTCATGTGGCATGATATGCAGCTCCATTGGACATAGTGCCTCTGTCATTCTCCGATGTAAACATTACAATTAATTGAGCATAACTTTTAATGACACCTGCCTTTTTTTAATCAGTGAGTTAAAAAGTTTACACCTTGAATTGGTTTTACCATATTTGACAGTTACTATACACAAAATTACATTGAATTTACATGCATATAAGTTAACACTCAACAGGAGCACTTAGCAGTAAATGGCAGTACAGTTATGTGCACATCTAGTTAAAAGTCGGCGGCTTCTTTGATATTCTTTGAATAGCAGTCGCACAAATACAGATAACGGTCTGTAGTTTCATTTAAACTGTATTATTTAAATACCCGTTAAAATGTGACAGAAGAATGTATGATTCATCTGTTGTACTCATGAAATCAATATCTATTCTGTATAAAAAACCTGATTAAAAAAAGGAAAATAACTTGCACTTTTTTGAAGACCTATTACATTTTTCGTCTATGGTTAAAAAGAGAGACCATCTGCGTTCACAGCTTGATTATAGCCCATTTACTTTATATGTAATAATTCATGCAATAATACACTCATTTAATAAAAAAATATTACTAAAAATAAAATAAAAAAATTTGCATTTTTTATACTGTTATGAATATCTTTTATATTATTAAAATATGAATATTAATTATTTTACTTTGTATAAGGAAATAGATAAAACATGTTGTTTTTTTTATATCAAATCAATGTGCCTAGCACCCTTTTACTTCTTCCAATGTCTTCAAACTTATCCCTAATGGCAGCTGAGGGGGAAGTCACTTCTGTCTATTCTATATAAAAGCCCTGGATCTTATGTTTGAGTTCAAATAACTGCTGATCGATCTATAAGCAAACTGTTTAACTCTTTAATTAATGCTGATATAAAAATTACATTGATACACTGTAATAACATCATGTAAAGACCATTCAAATAGAAATTTTACAAAGGGACTGTTAAAATCTTTTACCAGTTTAATCTGTTTATTATTTATATAAATTTCCTTATTTTCCCTTGTTTACTTAATGGACAAAAAGTATAACTTTCATAGATACATTGTAATATGAGCCGCATCATGACAAAACCAACATAGTGCGTTTGTGACCAGCATGGATCCAGACCTGCCTGTACAGTCTGATCAGGATCCATGATGTTGGCTTACAAACCCTATAGCATGTAGAGAAACTGATAGCGAACAGCATGAATCCTGATCAGACTGCACGGATGCGCAGGCAGGTCTGGATCCATGCTGGTCGCAAACGCACTATGTTGGTTTTGTCATGACGCGGCTCATATGTCCTATACCATGATGTGGTACTAGAAAATATCCGGATGAAGTTGTACTAGAAAATACAAGGACGAAACAATTCCATAGTATCATTGAAGAAGGTAGCTGATTAGAAGAAAAGTCTTTTTTTTAAAGCAAAAATTGTCAAAATACAAATATTTTAAAGTGATTTTTTGGTTGCTTTTAACTATTTTTAATGAACTAAGTAATCAAAGAAAGATAAGTTTTGAAATATTACTACAAGGGTAGATTTTCTGGCATGCTATACTTTAAGGGTGTAATGCTATGCTCACCTAACGATACAATACGTATCGCAGTACACTGGATCCATGATACAATACGTATCACAATATGTATTGTCTGTTATCCATTTAAACGTTGTAACTTCACACAGTAATATTATGTAATGCTTTAAATTAATTGAAACAACTTTAATTTAACTGTAATTTCCACAATATTTCATATTTACCAAGTATTTATCAAATGAGTCCTTTGCATTGAACAATGCAGTATGTTCTTGAATGACCTGGCCAATGTCTCTTGTCTTCTTTGGACATTTTGATAGTTAAAATAAAAGCTTTAACATTTTCTAAAGCTGTGAAAAATATTTGCAAAAGTGTCCATGTAACATATTAAAAAATTTTCACGAATTTCAGCTGACCAATAAGTTTTCGAAAAAGACCCCTCAGCTGATGGTCAGTTCTTACTAAACCCCTAAAAAGAACAATAAGTTGGAAAAATCAGCATATTGTAGTAACAGTCAAAGAACTTTTTTCCCGTTCTCTTTCCGTCTAAAATCCAAAATGCTTCTATATTTCGGACTTAAAACTAATTGAAGCAGATTAATATTCATTTGCAGTTTTAATTTCTCCCCTCGAAAATGGTTCAAATTGCTGTACTGTGCCGTATGGGTGTTTTGTTGTACCATGAA